GGGACATTTTGCGGGTTTCGTGGGAGCGCACTGGTGGAATCAGCAGGTGAAGTTTCTAGGCGACTGCCCCAGGGGAGCCTTTCGAGATCTCCAGACTTTACTTCCAGCTTGCTCATCTTGCCACACCCGAGTCTATTCCTTTTTTTGTGCCTCCCCAGGATGCTGCGCTACGCGAACCGACCAATGCCCAGGAGCAGCCAGGGGAACTGTGCCCAGACGTCCTTTTCCGGACCGGCCAAACGCTGCACGGCCAGGAGACATACACGCCGAGGCTCATCCTTATGGATCTGAAGGGTGAGGCGATGGCCGGGGTCAGCCAATGCCCATTTTCTCCTTCTCGTGCGTAGTGTCTAGCATCCGCTCCCTTCAGGATACTCCGACCATACTAAGCCTAAGGGCAGAGATACCTTGCCTAGGGAGAGGTAACCACAATATTCAAACACCTGAGACACGCAAGAAGGCAAAACTTTATTCCGTTCAAGAGCCATCTCTGGAATGGGCCGCTTTCCCCGGAGACAGTGATATAGCACTCCCTTAAAACCGCTGAATGTGGTATTTGCCCTAGTCCACAGCCAAGGAAAGGATGGAATTTAGATCCTCCTAGGTAAGGGTTATATTTCCAACTCATATATGTACAAGAAAACCTGGAAGTGCCAAGTACTGGAGGGATGGTGACAGCAGGTTGTCAGGTTATCAGAGGGAGATTAACTGGAGACTGGGAGGGACTAAGCTTTGATCTAACATCCCGTTATTTTTGTGCAGGTAGTTTGAGCTCCCTAAAACAAGAAAGTGGACTCTACAGGGACAAACAGCTAGATGCTGCAATAGCATGGTATTTCTGGTTTGGAGATGGGTGGGAAATGTGCACAGGAAGCTGGAAAACAAAGGGAAACGACTATGATTTGTCTGCAATTTCTTTAAGGCAGGGGAAGCTCACTACACACAAAGAGGAACTCTACACCAAGAACCCTTATCTCCAGGATCTTCCGAGTGTAGAGGTGAGGGTCTCTGCCCTAAAGTTTTTATTTTCAAATTATAAAAGAAAGTTTATTTAGAAAGTTACAGAGGTAATAAAAGTGAGCAGAAGAATTGGGCTAAGGAAACAAGTTACAGAGGCAAAAGAAAGACGCTCTGGGGAGAAAGGGAGGAAGGGAGAGGGGATGGAGAATATATATATAAATATATGAAGAGAGAGAGTGTCAGAGAGAGAGAGAGAGAGAGAGACTGCCCTAAAGGTTTTTTTTTTTCCTCACCCAAGGACATTTTTGCATTTATCTTCAGATAGAGTGGGAGGGAGAGGGAGGAAAGAAACATCGACGCGAGACACATCAACTGGTTGCCAACCACACAACCTCTCTCATCGATGTTTCTCTCTCTCCCTCTCCTTTCCTCTCTCTCAAAAATGTATAAAAATATATTAAATAAATACAGGAAAGATTGTCAAGATCTAGTACAGGGAGAGAGATGGTGAGAGATGGACAGGCAAGGGGTAACTGGCAGATGAAGTTGAGGGGGAGCAGGAAGCCAGAGTCCAGGACATAGGTAAAAAAACTGACTGTAAATGGAGGAGGGCCAGCACTTCCACAGGGGCAGGAGTCAGGGCGGTATGTATAGCTGGGAGGTGGGCAGGAATCAGAGGGAGCTCTTTTTTGTTTTAAATCATTTTTTAAAAATTCTCAACCAAAGATAATTTTATTGTTGTTTTTTATCCTCACTCAAGGATATTTTTGCATTTATCTTCAGATAGAGTGGGAGGGAGGGAGGAAGAGAGAGAGAAACATTGATGTGAGAGAGACATATCGACTGGTTGCCACCCACAGGACCCCAACTGGGGCTGGGGACAAACTGCAACCAAGGTATGTGCCCTTAGCAGAAAATGAACCTGGGACTTCCCAGTCTGTGGTCCGACACTCTAACCGCTGAGCCAAACTAGCCAGGGCTGCCCTAAAGTTTTAAATCCAATGCTACAACCATAGTGCCTCCACTGGGTCAGAGAAATAGAGGATTTTAATAATCTTAAATGCCTTAGAATAGTATTTTGGGAAGAAGCACTTTTCTTTCTAAAGGACTGTGACTACACAAACAGAAAGGAGGCCGTAGAGTATGGCCAACAAAATCAGGGAGGATAAATCTTGTGCTTTAAGACTGCCTGGAAATAAATGTAGATTTTTCTCATCCATCCCAGGGAGTGCTGAGTAGTGATGGTATCTGGAGGGTCAAATCAATTCCCAATGGCAAAGGTGAGACTTGTCCAGACACTGCAGGATGGGGAAGTGAACAGAGCAAAAACATGGAGAAAGGTACATTTTCTCTGCTTTTTCTTCAGGTCCCACAACACTCACCAGTGCTATAACTCCAGAGCCACTTATCCCCACAGAGGGCAGCATCAGAGTCTGGTCAGACTTCCTCAGAGTGCATCTCCATCCCCGGAGCATCTGTATGATTCAGAAGTACAACCATGATGGGTATGGGGGACCTCAGAGGCTGTGAGGCAAGAAACTGGGTCCCTACCAATGTTGGATGAGGCTTTTCAGGCCATATTCTCTGCCCTCCTGACAAGAGATCTTGGAAGAGTGTGGGGAGAGGGAACCCTCTAAATCCTGGGTTTTGTTTATGCATGATAGTGATGCAGGTCGCCTGGAGGCTTTTGGCCAAGGGGAGAGTATCCTAAAGGAACCCAGGTACCTGGAAGAACTGGAGGACAGGCTGCACTTCTACGTGGAAGAATGCGACTACCTGCAGGTATCTATGTGGCATGGTAGATACTGGGGTAAGAAACTCTTCTCATCCTACTATGTCTCATCATTCACCTCTCTCCAGGGCTTCCAGATCCTGTGTGACCTGCATGATGGCTTCTCTGGGGTAGGTTCTAAGGCTGCAGAGTTGCTACAAGATGAATATTCAGGACGAGGGATAATAACCTGGGGCCTGCTCCCTGGTCCCTACAGTCTTGGGGTGAGTAGAACTTGGAAAAAAAGAAAAATCACAGGGTGTGGAGGGAGAAATGAGGGAATAATAGCCCAGTGAGAAAGTTGCTTAAAACAAACCACTCTTTCTTTCAGCAGGATCCCCAGAAAAACATCTATCGTCTGTTAAACACAGCTTTTGGTTTGGTGCACCTGTCTGCTCACAGCTCTCTGGTCTGCCCTTTATCCTTGGGTGGGAGCCTGGGGCTGCGACCTGAGCCACCTGTCAACTTCTCTCATCTGCGTTATGATGTAAGGCTCGATGCCTTTGTTCTTCTAGTAATAGGGACTCTGTCACATTTACCAAGTCAGCCTATTCCTGGGTCTATTTTTTGTAAAAATATATTTTTATTGATTTCAGAGAGAGGAAGGGGTAGAGAAACATCGATTGGCTGCTTCCTGCATGCCCCCCACTGGATATTGAGCCCACAACCCAGGCATGTGCCCCAACCGGGAATTGAACCGGTGACCTCCTAACACATGGGTGGATGCTCAATCACTGAGCCACACCGGATGGACCTGGCTCTGTTCTTGAGGCGCCAGCTTGAATTTGGCCTCTTAGATCAGTGTCCCGTACTTGTCCAGCCTTGGGCCAATCACAGCCTGATTTGTCTCAAAGCCCCTGGATCTCTCTGCCATTATTATTCTGCCTCCACACTCTTTATTTTCCAGAGCCAAAAGACCAAGTGCTTTTTGGTATCCTCTTTACAGGCCACTCTGCCCTTTCACTGCAGTGCCATCCTGGCTACAGCCCTGGACACAGTCACTGTTCCTTATCGCCTACATTCCTCACCAGTTTCCATGGTTCATCTGGCTAATATGCTGAACTTCTCTGGGAAAAAGGTATGAAACTTTGTGAGGGGTTGGGTCAGAACTGTGAAAAAGCTCTGTAACTTGATCTCATCCTTACCTTTAAGGTGGTGACAGCAGGTGCAACCATCCCCTTCCCTTTGGGTCCAAGCCAGTCCCTTCCTGATACCCTGATGCAGCTCGGAGGGGCCACCCCTTGGACCCCACTATCTGCATGTGGGGACCCTTCTGGAACATGCTGCTTTGCCCAATCAGTGGTGCTGAGGGGTCTAGACAAAGCATGCCACACCAGGTGAGGACTGATGGTCCTTAGGGGAGTCCATGTCAGACTTTTGTTTCATGTCCTTTTCTCTCTAATACCTCTGGACATTCTCATGGTATTGCCCTTCTTCTTCCCTCCACTCACTTAAAAAAAAAAAGAAAAAGAAAAAGACTAAGTATCCTGATTCAGCTAATGGCTTGAAAACATAAGAATTCTTAGTTTCTTACTCATGCTACCCCAGATTAAAGGTGATTTTGGCTTTGTTCTGACAGTCAGCTCATCCCAGGGACACCTCTGCCCACCCTACTCCATGCTTGCACCACTGGGGAAGAAGTCTTGGCCCAGTATTTACAACAGCAGCAGCCTAGTGTCAGGAGGTCAGTAAAATGCTTGCTCCTACTCTCCTCCCAGACCCCAGACCTCCCCTGACCCTTTCTCCCTTAGCTGCTATTCTCTTGTCCCCAGTTCTTCCTATCTGCTGCTGACTCCCTGCAAGGTGGTTCCTCCTTATCCCAGCCTCTTCTCCTCAAACCTCAGCCGGCAAGGTTTGGTTCTGGATGAACCCCCAACTGGGACAGGTATGTAAAAGGTGAAGAAAACCAAAATTTCAAACACGAGAGAGGTTTTACTCTATCGCTCCCTGGATAAAGGTACTTAAAAAAGTCAGTCAAACATTCCTTTATTCACTTGATGTTTCCTAAAGAGAAGTGTTCTTCCTCTGGAGTACTGGTATACTATGGGGACAGTACACAAAACGTATTGAGTTTACAATCAAGTTAACTAAAGACCCAGATTTCCCTATCTATACGACAGAGTCTCGGTAGAAGAACAATTCGATTACAGGTCTCCCTGTGCTCTCCCTCCGTAGCCGTGGAGAGCATCCCAGTGCTTGGGGCCCTCTGCTCCTCTTCATCCTTGAACCGGACGCTGGGAGACTTGGTCAAGGAACTCACCAAACTCGATCTGCGGCGCTGGGCTAGCTTCATGGATGCTGGAGTGGAGCAGGATGACCTAGAGGAGCTGCTGCAGGAGCTACGCAATCTGGCGCAGTGCTACCAGGGTGGCGACAGCCTTATGGACTAAAGTTCCAAGAAAAGGAAAGAACTAGTTTACAATAAAAAGTGCTGGATGCAGGAGCTTAGTGTCTTGGGACTGGCAACACTAACATATGCACTTATTACATTTAGAAACACTGTGCCTTAGATCACAATAAATGTGCACCATCAGGACAAAAAATTTAAAAAGGGTAGAAAAGGAGCTGAGCCCCACTCTCCCGCAACACTATTTACAAAGTAATTTCTAAAGACTTCATTCACAGAGCTATGAAAACCCTCAGCCTCCCTTTGTCCTTGTCCTCTGCTCACCTAGCTCTGTATACTAGCACCAGGGGTATACAAGCAAGGCACCACCCCCCTCTCCCTCATCAGGGTGCCTGCGGGGTTTGATCCTATGCACATGACACCCACACGCTCAGAGTCTCACTCATCCAGCTCCTCCTCAGACAGATCCCCATGATCAGATAGCTGGTCTGCATTGCTGGTGCTGGTTGCATCATCTTCCTCTTCGGAGCTGGCCTCACAGGCAGTGTGGAAGAGCTGCATGAGTTCTCGAAAACGGTGGGAAACCTAGGAGGAGAGGTGAAGGTCTGTTCCCTGTACCTAAGTTATGTCCTCATAGATAAGGAAACTCAAGTTAAATGGCTAAATAATTTGCCCAGTGTCACACTCCTCCTAAAAAAACTAGAACGGGCCCTGGCCGGTTTGGCTCAGCGGTTAGAGCGTCAGCCTACGGTCCAGAGAGACCCGGGTTCGGTTCCCGCTAAGACATGTACCTCGGTTGCAGTTTGTCCCTGGCCCTGGTTGGGTCGTGCGGGTGGCAACCACTCAATGTGTCCCTTTCACATCAATGTTTCTCTCTCTCCCTCCCACTCTATCTGGAAAAAAAAAAAGGAAAAATGTCCTCAGGTGAGGATAAAAAAAAAAAAAAACTAGAACGGAATCTCTGGAACTTCCACTTCAAAATCCAATGCCATTTCTCTTCTAGAACCACTGCCAAACACTCTTGACAAGTCAAGGCCTTCCTCAGGGCAGACCTTTACAATGACCAGTTTGTGTCTTGTCTTCTCTTAGTTGGCCAACCTTTCCCCTTGCCAGGTCCTCTCCTTGGTTCGAAGTGTTAGCAGGGCTCCCCCACTTACCTCAGTAGGAGTCTTATTTCCTAGCTGCTGGGAGATGATGCGAAAAGTCTGGGGCTGTGCTCCTTGCTCCTGGCACATGGTGAGAATCACACGGTCAGCTTCCCTGTAACCCGTATATTGTGATTAGTCCTAAATTAGTAACATGGATGTGTTCCGTGTACTTTTTAAACACACACATCTATCCCTACCTACCTTGTCCACAGGACCACCTTTTCCCCAGTGGAGCTGACTTTGCTGTTGTTTGCACATACTGTGACTTCTATAGCCTTTGGCTGCTGCTCCTGTTCTGGACCCTTGCCCTGTATTCCACTGTCTTTAGCCAAACCTCCTTTAGGGGTTTTGGGAGGAGACTCTGAGGTGTCAATTCCTGATGAAGATTCATGGACAAGGGACTTGTCGGATTTCTTTGCCTCAGTCCTGCTTGAAGGTAGCCAGCTCTCTTGAGTATCTGGTTTCCCAGAAACCTGTCTTTTCCCTAAGTCTTTGGTCCTTGAGGAAACAGGGCTCAGGAAAATAGCAGGGGGCTCGACAGTTCCAGCACATTTCTGAGTTTCTGAAGCATCGCAGACCACCATGGAAGCCTCTGAATCACCCACTGCCTTATGGCCCTCCCCTTCATCCTGAAGCTTGGGGGATGCCTCGGGGCAGGAGAAAACCTCAGATCCAGCCTGGTTTGTCCTAGCTGTATCGAGAACAACACCAGTTTTGGAAGAAAGCTGAGAAGTTTCTGGTGAAAAGGGTGGTGGGCCATCCAGGAGGAGCTGCTGTTCTGTAAGAATCATTTCTTGAGGGGACAGCAAAGTGCTCCCCACTGCCAATCCTGTTTAGGAGAAAAAAAAGATCTAAGAGTATGGACAGAATCGAGATGCACCTAAGGACTGACTACAAATTACCACAGGGTCACTCTGGTGAGCTACTGTAACAAAATTCTAATCCAAAAGAGTGAGGTAGAGGTCAGGGCCAAAGTCATTTATATAAAGAAATAAGCCCTGGCCAGTGTGGCTTAGCTGGTTGAGTACTGTCCAGTGCACAGACAAGTTGAGGTTGGATTCCCAGTCAGAGCACATGCCTGGTTTGCGGACTTGATTCCCATTTGGGGGAATGCAGGAGGCAGCTGGTTGATGGTTCTCTCTCACTGATGTTTCTCTCTCTCTCTCTCTAAAAATCAATTTAAAAATTTTTGAAAAAGAAAAAGAAATACCTGCTGCCCTAGCCGAGTAGCTCAGTTGGTTAGAGCATTTTCCTGATACACCAAGGTTGCAGGTTCAATCCCACATACATGAAGCAACCAATGAATGTATTAAGTGGAACAACAAACTGATATTTCTCTAAAAAAAAAATAAATGGAATTAAAAAAGAAAAGAAATAAACAATATCTACATGCCAAAGCTGAGAATGCCTGAATCTTTAGAACGCAGATCACAGAGGATCTGGAGATAAAGAGAAGGGATTCAGGAATGGGAATACAAGAGAAGGCTGAATCATTTTGATTTTGTAGCACTTAGTTCTGGAAGAGTACTGAGGCCACAGGAGAGAAAATTAAGGCTGAACAGAAGGGTTTCTTATTGGTTTATTAGTAACAGAGGTGGTAGTCCATCCCTGAAAAGACTTATTTATCCAGGTTCAAATACATTTTTGCTTGAAGTATGTGAGAATAAGACAGAAATACATGGAGAAAGGCTGACTTGGTAGCTGGATCACTCACCTGGAATAGGCAGCTCTCCCTTTCGGGTATTCCTGCCAGTCCTGCTCTGGGTGGCTTCAACGGCTTCTCGTTCCTCTGGAGCTTCCTCTTCCATCATGTCCTTGCCCTGCCCAGCTTCCTTAGCACTAGGCATAGGACTGGCCTCTCGGTGTGGGCTGCCACCCACTAACTCATGCAGCTCCTTGCTCTTGTAGGATTTGCTGTCACAGACCTGCAGGGATGACCTTGTGGGTCAAGGGTCTCCTGACCTCCTCTGTCTTAAGGGCCCTGCTGTGATGCTCAGCAAGTCGATTAAGATGCATGCCTGCTCCAAGGATTTTAAATGCCCAGAGTACTGGATTCAACCACTCCTCTATCTAAGGACTGTATTTTTGCTGCCAGCCAACCCTACTCTAGAGAACAAACATTACCTTTAGGGTCTGTTTTCTTCACACAGGTTTATTTCACTAAAAAAAAAAATCTAGCCCTGGCCAGTTTGGCTCAGCGGTTAGAGCGTCGGCCTGCGGTCCGGAGAGACCCGGGTTCGGTTTCCGCTAAGGGCACATACTTCGGTTGCAGTTTGTCCCCAGCCCTGGTTGGTCGTGCGGGTGGCAGCCACTCAATGTGTCCCTTCACGTCGATGTTTCTCTCTCTCTCTCCCTTCCTCTCTCTCCCTCCCACTGTATCTGTACAAAAAAAGGAAAAATATCCTCGGGTGAGGATAAAAAAAAAAAAAATCTAAGAAGGAAATATTTGAACTTGTTGTTGTTTTTTAATTCTCAACCGAGGATACATTTTCCCATTTATCTTCAGATAGAGTGGGAAGGAGGAAGGGAAGGAGGGAGAGAGAGAAAGAGAGAGACAGAAACATTGATGTGAGAGAGATACATCGGCTGGCTGCCTCTTGCACGACCCCCACCAGGGCCAGAGACTGAACCGCAACCAAGGCACGTGCCCTTGACCAGAATCAAACCTGCGACTCTTTGGTCCACGGGCTAACACTCTAACCACTGAGCCAAAACAGCCAGGGCTGATTTTTGTTTTCCAACTCCAAAAGCTTTACCCACAGGATTCTCTTTAAAAATCAAAATCCATGCTATATTTTTATTTATTTATTTATTTTTTCATGCTATATTTTTAAAAGATTATATTTAGCCCTGCCAGTTTTGCTCAATGGTTAGATCATCAGCCCATGGACCAGAGTTGCAGGTTCGATTCCCGGTCAAGGGCACGTACCTTGGTTGCAGGTTGGATCCCAGGCCCTGGTCAAGATCATATGGGAGGCAATCAATTGATGTGCCTCTTTCACATGGATGTTTATCTGTCTCTCTCCCTCCCGCGCTCCCACTCTATCTAAAAATCAATGCATAAATATCCTCAGGTGAGGATTAAAGAATAATAATAATGTTATATTTATATTCTATGTGTGTGTACAAGTTTCACATTTGTGGTAGCAAACAATACCCCAACAGTAGGCAACCTGGAGGTTGACCTAGATAGGCAGCTCTGATACCTCTCAGTACCAGTTCCACCCCACTCACCTTGCTACTGCAGTGGCTACAATTTCTCCGTTTGCTTTTCTTCAGTTTTGAATCAGGACCTCCTTCATGGCATGAACAGGCACAGTCCTTGACACCATCTGGCCACTCAGTCTCCTAGGAGATATCTGGGCTTGGTTAGTTGCCAAGTCTTTTGGTAGTAAGAGAAAAAGATCAGCCTGCCCCCTGACCTCCCAAACCTGTCCTTTCTCTTTTATTATACACCATCTCTTCATATTGCCTGAAGAAATGAATGCCCAAACTTGATCATAGCCTATTATGAATCCCTAAAACCTTAAATGACCCAAAAACTAATGTAGTTGCCCAGATGTTTCAAAAAAATATTTAAGTCAAATATAATCTGAGGCAGTTACTGGAGAGTTCCATCATGAGACATGATCTACCCAATTGTCTGTTTTTGTTTCTGTCTCCCTGTGCCTTGAACTCTCCCCTCTCTTCCAATCCCCTTGAGAGAGGGCTTTGTACATATGGAAGGCTCACTCAATGATACTCTCTGTTTAATAAACCAAAGACATAAGTACCATTATTATCCCACTGATGATGAAGAAAATGAAACAGAGACATTAAATAAATTGCCCAAGGACATTCAGCTACTAAGAAGCAGTTTTTCCCTAAGAAATAGTAAAAGACATGGAGTACAGGGACATAGATTAAAAAGACTACTTTTTTTAAAAATTCCACACCCAAGGACATTTTCATCATCAGACAGAGTGGGAGGGAGGAAGATGGAGAGACAGAGAGAAACATCGATGTGATAGAGACACATCGACTGGTTGCCTCCTGCACAGCCCTGGTCGGGTCAGGGATGAACCGCAACCAAAGTACATGCCCTGGACTGGAAACAAACCCACGACTCATTGGTCCGCAGGCCAAAGCTCTAACTGCGGAGCCAACCCGGCCAGGGCAAAAAAAGGACTACTTCTATTTTTTTTTATCCTCACCAGAGGACATTTTTCCATTTTTATTTTTGTTCAGATAGAGTGGGATGGAGAGAGAGGAAGAGAGAGAGAGAGAGAAACATTTACGTGAAAGGGACACATCGAGTGGTTGCCACCCGCATGACCCATCCTATTTTTTCACATGAACAGAAAAGAAAAAGTTAAGACTCAAGGGCAAGAGAAATGGCTCTGAGCTAAAAAGAAAACAGGAAGCAGATCCTTCTACTGAGGCCCTTGGGAGTGGGGCCTCTCCAGCAATTGCACTGTCTTCCCATTGGCTCTGCATGTCCATAGTAGCCTCAGATCCCAGAAGCTTTGCACCACACTGAGCCAGAGAAACATTTAGGCATAAACTCAAGTTCTGATTCATGAAAAATGAACACTCTCCAACAACCTGGTGTACCTTATCATGATTTTGGACCCCAATCTCCTTTCTTCTTTTGTTCTTTGAGGCTGTGGGTATCTTGGGAGGTTCTTCTTCCTCTTCCACATCAGGCAGTGCCACTTCTTCAAAGCCATCAAACTGGGGAGAAGTTGGTGCCACTCAACATAGACTCTGGGCAGATTATCCCTCCTATACTGGGCCTTCTCCATTCACACTATGGGCCTGTACCTCATACTCTTTCTCTTCAGTCCAATTGATCTCTTCAAAATCACCCATCCGGCTAGCTGCTGGGCGCAGATGGTCAAAGAAGATGGAGAACTCATCCTGTAGGTGGTCGTGGCCCTTGAGGAGATGCCACATCTGTGTCTTGAGCTAGGAAGAGTAGCAGAGGGAAAGATGAAGTCTTCAGAGTCTCTCTAGGCCATATTCCAAACCAATCCCACATACTTCCAAGTTCTACTTTCCTAGTCAGCCGGGAGACACATAGAAGCCTCTCTTTGATAACTAAGAGTTCTTTTTTTCTTTTTCTTTTTTTTTAGTTTTTTCTTTTTTTTAGAGTGGGAGGGAGAGAGAGGAAGAGAGAGAGAGTGAGTGAAAGAAACATTGACGTGAAGGGACACATCGAGTGGCTGCCACCCGCACGACCAACCAGGGCCGGGGACAAACTGCAACCGAAGTATGCGGGAACTGAACCCGGGTCTCTCAGGACCGCAGGCCGACGCTCTAACCGCTGAGCCAAACCGGCCAGGGCAATAACTAAGAGTTCTTAAACTTCCTCTCCCTCCTTGCTTGTCTACATGGGAGGAGTATTAACAGATTTTCTTTCTTTCTTTTTTTTTTTATCCTTACCCAAGGACATTTTTCCCTTTCTCTTCAGATAGAGTGGGAGGGAGGGAGGGAGAGAAGAAGAGAAGGAGAGAGGGAAAGAAGGAGAGAGGGAAAGAGGAAGAGAAACACCTACGTCAGAGGGACACATCAACAGGTCGTTTCCTGCATGACCCCAAGCAGGGCCAGGGAAGAACTGCAACTGAGGTACGTGCCCTTGACTGGAATCAAACCCGTGAGACTCTGGTCCATGGGCCAGCGCTCTAACCGCAGGGCTAAACTGGCTAGGGCTTGATTGGATTTCTAATAAAAATACTCTCTACTCTGTCATACCAATCTCCAGGTTAGGCATTAACCCAAGCAGAGCAATAAGCCAAGCTTCTCCCAGGCTCCATCACCTCCTCTCTTGAACTTTTCCCTTCCAGGCCACTGTTGGCATTCCTGAGCCTGTGAAGATCCATCAGGATCTGGTTTCAGGTAGCCACCACCCCCTATTCCAGTGTTTTATGCTATAGGCAAGCCTAAAAATACCCTTGTTTTCTTCTCAAAAGTGCATGGTACCCCAGAAGCAAGAGGATATAGACTAGGTTAGGGAAAGTAAGCAGAGAAAAGGCGAAAGCCCAGATGAAAATGGAAAGGAAGCAGGATGGGAAAAATACCTCAGAGATCTCCTGGGGAAGGCAGTCTGCACAACTTTGGAGGACTTTGATAATCTTCTGGTGGTGTGAAGGGTTCTCTGCAAAGCAAATTTCAAGCTGCCGAAGAAACTTGCGACTCTTCTCAAAAGCTTGTTGCTCCTCAAACTACCAGGGTGAAAAGAGAGCAAAAGAGGAGTCACCTATACTGTTAGAGCCAGGACTTGAGGGTTCAAAGCATTAAGAACCAAGAAAAACTGGGCTGAGGATGTAGAGGATGACAAGGCTCTAGTTTATGACTGTGTGATCTTTTCTAAGACCTCCAGCATCTATCCACCTTGGGTTACTGGGATCTACTGACTCAAATACTTAGCATGTAAATGAAAGATTGAAGAGCTATACGTATCTCAAGTTGTTTATTGTTTCATGTATTGTGAAATCAGATACTCAAACTGATGTAGCATTAACAGTTTACAAAAAATTTTCACATATACATTCCTTTTTTTTTTTTTATCCTCACCCGAGGACATTTTTCCATTTTTTTTGTTCAGATAGAGCAGAAGGGAGAGAGAGAGAGAGAGAGAAACATCGATGTGAAGGGACACATCGAGTGGCTGCCACCCGCACGACCAACCAGGGCCGGGGACAAACTGCAACCGAGGTACGTGCCCTTAGCGGGAACCAAACCCAGGTCTCTCTGTATCGCAGGCCGACGCTCCAACCGCTGAGCCAAACCGGCCAGGGCTCACATATACCTTCCTTTGATTGTCATAATAATACAGAGAGAAGATGAGCATGATATGTATAATCATTCCATTATTACTTAACTGTCTTAAGAGTATCAGAAAATTATCATTTTATCCTTCATTCCAGTCATGACAAAAAACCCAGAACTACTAGGATATCCCTCATGTTTAGATACTTATTCACCAACATTTCAAATGTCACCTTACCATAATGGCTCTCCCAACCCTCCATGTATGAAAATGTAACACCCTACCCCTCACCCATTTTTAAAAAAAATATGTATTTATTGATTTTAGAGAAAGAGCGAGAGAAAGAGATAGAAATATTGATGCGAGAGAAACATTGATTGGCCACCTCCTGCATGTCCCCCCACTGGGGATCTAGCCTACAACACAAGCATATGCCGTGACCGGGAATCAAACTGGCAACCTCCTGGTGCATGGGACAACGCTCAATCAAATGAGGCACACCGGCTGGGCCCCCTTTCCTACCTTATCTATAGAGCATTATTACTATAAAATATTATATACTATATACTATTTATATCTATTTTATAATTTTTATAATACACAGGGTGGGATGAAAGTAGGTTTACAGTTGTTCATATGTAAAATAATACAATAGTTAATAAATTAATACAAGAATAAACTGTTTCACACACTCACAACTATAAACCAACTTTTTTTTAATCCTCACCCGAGGATATTTTTCCATTTTTGTACAGATAGAGGGGGAGGGAGAGAGAGGAAGGGAGAGAGAGAGAGAAACATTGACATGAAGGGACACATCGAGTGGCTGCCACCCGCACGACCAACCAGGGCCGGGGACAAACTGCAACCAAAGTACGTGCCCTTAGGGGGAACCGAACCCAGGTCTCTCTGTATCGCAGGCCGACGCTCCAACCACTGAGCCAAACTGTCCAGGGTTATAAACCAACTTTTGCCACACCCTGTGTATATATTTACAATAATGTGTTTTACTGTTTGTATGGTAAATGGCAACATGGGCTCCCTCCCATCCTGTGGGAATATACAGAAGGCCACCTGTATGGATTGCGAGACCTTGAGAGACTGGCCAGAAACTCAGACTAATAAAGGCCAAACAAAAACTGCTTCTAGATGTGAGCCCAGACTGTAAACAGGTAGTGTTTTGATCTAACACAGCTTGCATGGGGACACAACCCCTCCCCCTGCATACCCTGGTTTGCTTTGTTTTTTGTACTCTATTATAAAACCTTGTGTTGGGAAGTTTGGGTGGCAGTTAAACAATAGAACCAGCTTCTCCCAACCCCATGCAGCCAGTCTACAGGCTGGATGGGACTTGACAAAATAGTTCACAAGCGGCAACTGGTGCAGCAGTAAACAACTGATCAGCCACCACTGGTGCACAAGTTAAGCACTAATAAACCCATGTCTTTCACAGCCAGTCCTCCAGGTTATTTCTTTGGAATCCACAAACAATACCCTGAGGTTTTCTTGAACCTCAGCACTCTGCATTAACACTGTTTATCATCTGACGTTCCCCATGAGAATGTAAACTCCATGAGGGCAAGGATTTTATTTTTTTGTGTTTACTATATTCCTAACACCTAGACTTTGCCTGACATATAGTAGGCACTCATTAAATATTTGTTCAATGCATGCCTGCTTTACAACAATGAGGAGCAAAAGGCATATAATTTAACTAAGATCTTCACTGGCAACTGAAGGTAAAACCTCTCTCTTTTCCATGTAAAGAAAATGGGAGAATGGAGCTGGGAAGATCACCCTTTGAAAAGCAGGAGGCATTTTATCACCCTGTGCTAGGAGGCTATCTGACTGGAAGCAGTCAGGAGACTGGAACAGTGCTAGTCAACTCTATTCAAACGCAATCTCGCTCTGACCCAGGAATCCCAATGTGCTGTCTTTGCCCATCTACTCACTAATCCACAGGCCAGAGCTTGCTCTGGCAACAGGAAAGCAGCAAAGTCCTTCAACAGCTGAGGCCAGTCTTGGAGCAGAATTTGCAGGCTTTTGTAGAGATCCACAGCTGTCTGCCTCTGAGTATTTGACTCAAATTCATAGATAACCTGAAGGAAGTCCTCATACCTGCCAGGGATATGTTGCAGGGCTTCTCGTACCTGTACAGGGAGACTTTCAATCATTAGTACCCTTTCTATGAGTTGCAACAAAAAATAGCAATACCAAAAAACAAACAAACAAATAAAAAAACAGCAGTACCAAGAAAGGATGAGATTATTGTTAGAGAGCTCTAAGAATTGTCTTTCCTCTAACAGGTCCTAAGATCCGACCACTGATGGAAGACAATGAGCAAGGTACAGCTCCTTTTCTGGTAATGGGCAACTGAAAAGCCTTCATTTTCCAGGGACCACTGTCCTCCCCCAAAAAAACAGGTAAACTTCTTTCTAGCTCACAGCCCTAACCTCTCCTTCCTGATTTCAGCTCCATATTGAAACAGATAAGTATTCCATACATATATTTCAGCAGGGTATCATCTGAGGGTAAATAATATAAACATTAGGATTGTTAGTAAAATATTAGGAGACAAGAAAGAGTCATCACTAGTACTGTTAGTATTCTACTTTGCTTGGGAGATTAATGAACTAGGTGGTTAGCAAAAGAATAAGACAGCTACCCAGGACAACTTCAAGGAACAGGTTGGTTCACCTCTCTGAAGATCAAGGTGCTTCTCTGAGATCCACTCTCTTGCAGTATAACAAAGGTCTTTCTTCACCAGCCAAGGGCTCAGTAAAGGTCCTTATTTTAGCCTCCCCAATGAAGTCACACCTTTTTTTTTTTTTTTAAATCCTCACCCGAGAACATTTTTCCATTTTTTGTTCAGGTAGAGTGGGAGGAAGAGAGAGAAACATCGACGTGAAAGGTACACATCGAGTGGCTGCCACCCGCACAACCCAACCAGGGCTGGGGACAAACTGCAACCAAGGTACGTGCCCTTAGTGGGAACCGAACCCGGGTCTCTCTGGACCGCAGGCTGACGCTCTAACCACTGAGTCAAACCGGCCAGGGAGAAGTCACACCTCTTAATGATGATAGTGATATCAGCGTTTCCCAATTTCCAGGCAATAGAGTGGTGATGCTAAGGTACTAACAATAAAGCTGCTTATGACTGAATAGTCTCCTATGGTTCTCTCACACAGATCTTTAGGTAATTCCAGGAAAGCAAAGGCAGAGGCATAGAAGGTTGATGTGGAGCCTGAAAAGCAGAATGACTGCATTTTAAAAATACCTCTCTTAAAGGAGTAGCCTCATTCGGAGGGAATAGCAGTAACAGGAAGTAGCATTTGCCTACCCTGGTCAGATAAGCCTGAGCAAAGGCCAAATCCTTCTGCTCCCTGAGTGGATCCCGCTCGAGAATGTTCTCATCATACAGCAACAGCAGCTTGGAGGTGTCCTTGCTGGCCCGGGCCCGACTGCCCCGCTTATTGCGAACTCGATGATTGCTCCGGCCCTTTCCAGAAGCTTTGATGCTCTCTCCTTAGAGTACATGTGAAAAAAGACTGTTTCTTCATCCATGCAACCCCTACTTTTCCCACCCCAACACAAGCTCCCAATGCACCCAAACAAATCCAGCCAATGGTATGAAACAGCTCAGGATAAAAGCTGCTGGGAAAATAGCATGAGAGGCATGTCTGTCTCTGTCAGGTAGCCTCCATGCAGAGTCACTAGTCTCAAGAGGGAGTTCTGCCTTAAGTCAGTCTCTCAAAGGGCTATGTCTTGGTGAGGAGTAAGCACTGCTTTCTGAAATATATGTAGCTTTTAGCCTCAAGCATGATAAATGACTTAAGAACCAGTATAAAAACTTGGATAAACCTGATAAAAATCTAGCAGCTGATGAGAATAAAATTTAAAATTTCTGAGCATCTCTTCTCTGTAAAGGCATCAAGTTAAACATCTGTTTTGGGGAAGGGAAATTGCACGGGTGATCCAGAGGAGTTTTTCTGAACTCGCCTCCAGGTTTACAAGTTAGCCACTCTGCACATGTCCTTTAGACAATGAGGCCAAATGAGACCTGCCCCTCATACAGGCTTGCCAAACTAACCTGGTGGGGTCCTACAGGTCTCCTCTTCTGGAGCAGCCTGGGGTGAGGCAAACGTAGTAGGAGGTTTCTCTGCAGGGTCTCCAATGGCTTCATCTGTCATTTCATCCTCTTTTTGCAGGTTTTCCATTCCCTCTGCTTCTGCTTCTTCTTCCTCTTCTTCTTCAGGCTCAGAGTTCTCTTCCTGAGAGTTGTCTTCCTCAGACTCACCCTCCTGACTCATGCGCCTTTCAGATGCCAGCCAAGTCAGTTTCTCCATTGTTTCCTGCAACACTCCCACCCCCAAGAGTGTTCATTAAGGCTGGTAATGGCTCACCAAGTGCTAATTGCACAGAGGTTTGCAAGAGGAACCAAGGTTAATCAACAGAGGTGGGGGTGGGAGGGGAATAAGGAGGAGGATTAACACAACTATCAGGGCCTGGTCCTCTGAATTTTGGAGTCACAGGGGTAGCTGGGATTGCTGCCTGACAGTAGGAGGGGGAAGAGGATTTGGAAAGGTCCTCTCTACCCTGAAGATAGTTTTCCTTTGCCACAGTCTACACTTATGATCTATTTTTTAGGCATTTAAATTGTGCTTTGGTGATTCAATTTAACATTCAAATGCATTTAAGTCAAATATAATAAGTCAAATTTCACCCTTTCCCTCTTCTCTCACCATAAAACCAAAATTATGTCCCAAAATTTTATTTCAAAACTCAAAAATGATTTTAGAAATATCTACAGTGCAACAAGTAAGCACTGTCCACAAAATATTTGAGAATATTCCCCAACTCTCACCTGGAGTTCTGGGACAGAGAGCACAGATTCCTCAGAAGCTGATGACATCTCATCTTCCTCATCTTGGGTAAGGTCGTCAAAGTCCTCTTCTTCCTCTTCCTCTGGCACATCCTTCTCTCCTCCAGTTTCTGGCCCAGCTGGTGTCCCCGCCAACTCACCATCAATGTTGAATAAGTCTTCAGGTTTCCCTGGGGGGCTGCTAAACACCATTTCAGGGTCAGTGGAGGATGAAGCATTCTTTGGAGATTCTTTGCTCCCATTTCCTGAGTTTCCTCCATCAAGAGGTTCTTGAGAAGCTGAAGGAGTTTTGGCTAGTTGACTTCTCTCTTCCTCCTTCTGTAAAACTGTCTGTGTCTTAGCTTCTCCTGTAGCGCTTGACTCCTCATTTGGGAAGCCAGTGTCCAACTCCACAGGGTATTCTTCTTTGATTTCATCACAAATGGTCTGCTCCGGGGATCCACTGGAGACTTCCTCTCCAGGATCTTTAGGTTCCATCTTCACAATTTTCTCTAAATCTCCAGAAGGAGAGCTTAGAGATTCTTGGAAACCCTGAGGCAGTGGTTCTACAACTTGCCTCCCCTCCTCTGTTTTCACAACAGTCCAGATATAGGCACTGTTCTCTGACAATTCTTCCTGACACACTCTATCTGATGGCAGAGGTCCTGGGCTGTGCTCCTTTTTAGGGAAGACAGTAGCACACAGAGGAGACAGTTCCTGGGGTTCTAATTTGGGTACCAGGCCTGGAAAGGCATTTTTCCCTTCATCCAAAGGACAACCAATGTCCATATTCACTTGGACCTTATCTTCTTGTACAGGAAGATTCACAGAGTTGCCAGAAACAATTAAGGGTGGGATGGAGGAGGCCACAAGGGGCTGGTTCAATGGACAGGGGAAAGAAGTAGGGTTAACCAAGAGTGTGGTGATGGGAAGGGTCTGAGAACTCTGGGCCATGGTTGCATTGACAGGCTGAATCATGTTGCAGCCACTGCCAAGGCTCACAACTTTCACAGTGGTGGCAGGAACAGTGAAGATAACAGGTGCAGAGTTGATGAGGGGGACAGACTTCAGACAGAGAGAGGTCTTGGCCCCCTTTCTCTTTGGGCCTCTCCGTTTAACGTATGGCTTTCGAAACTTGGAAGGGGCAAGTGAGGGCAGCATTACCTTGGGCACAGGAGCAGAGGAGAGCAGGGTCTGGGGCTCGGACAGAGGGAAGCTGGTCCTGGCCTCAGGGGGTATAGTAGGCAATACTGTTGAGGACTCAAAACTATCACCCCCAGTGACCACCAGTGGAGGAACAGCTGGCACTGTCTGTAAGACAGTGGCTGGCTGGATTGTATGAGGAATCCGGACCACCATTTTACTTGGAGGAGCTTCTGACTGAGTTGACCTAGGTGGTATTTTCCCAGAGTTGGAGCTGGGCTGGAGAGAGGGACTAGGTCTGATAAGGAGAGGCTTCAGGGCTGATGACCTCTTTTGTCTCCAGCCCTTCCTGGAAAAACAGTTGGCAACTGGCTTCAGTTTCAGGACTACCCCCTTAGGCAACAGCAGGGGGTACCGAGTTTCACTCCCCAATTCTGAGCTGCTTTTGCTTAGGTCTGGGTCTGGCTTGACCTCAGTGGTTCCAGTCACATTTTCTCCCTCTCTGGCACCACTAGCTATGTGCTGCAGTTCCTCCTGGATGGATGGCAGACTGGCCTATTGGGAACAAGAACACTCTAATTCAGCACATGTCAGAATATGGTAAAAATAAAGGAATAAATAAATAAAATAGGGGCTTTTAGATTTTAGGGACCTTCCCAGGACAGTCTCGAGATAATCTTTTCATGAGGGATTTTTCTGCACAATATCAAATTTCTACGTAGACTACATTCCTATCGCATACTCTAGAAACTCTTCTCTGAATTTCCTATAAGAAACTATCATTTTACCCACCTGAGGGGAGGGTAGAGGAAGAAGAGAAGAAGGACAAATAAAAAATATTTCTTTTTTTTTTTTTAATCCTCACCAGAGGACACTTTTGCATTTATCTTCAGATAGAGTGGGAAGAAGACAGGGAGGAAGAGAGAGAGAGAAACAGCAATGTGAGAGAGACACATTGAGTGGCTGCCACCCACACGACCCCAACTGGGGCCAGGGACAAACTGCAAACAAGGTACATGCCCTTAGCGGGAACCGAACCCGGGACTCTCTGGTCCACGAGCCGACGCTCTAACCACTGAGCCAAACCAGCCAGGGCTAAAAAAGATTTCTTAAGTCCTAGTTCTACAACTAAAGCATTAAAGGTATACAGTAGCACTGATGTTTCTGCCAGGTTTTTAGTGACCTTCTGCCTCTAGTCTACTTTGAGGAGGGCTTACCTTTAACCAGAATGGAAGCCGGTGTTCTTCCCTCTCTACAGGCGGCTTCCACTGATGTGGCTGGATCTCTTCACAGCACTTCCCCATGATGGGCAGCTGTTTGGTCTTCTTATAAAACTGAGCATGAAGAAATAAAGTATGAGTTACATTTCTTTCAGAAACACTGCCCTCTGTCAGGTTAGGAAGTGGGGTGGGCAGTGGTTTGACTGACACAAACACACATTCATATATACATATATATAAACAGTATGTGCTAAATGCTTCTGCATTTCAAATTAAACTAATCTCTAATTAACAAAGATTTTTATAATTACTCAATATCTATTAACTGATAATCTCCCTTCTGGTCACCAGGAAGGGCAAAGTTTAGCTTCCAGAGAAAAGGGAGCCAATGGCTAGAGAAATCTTATTTAAAATCTGCTCCTGCACAACAGTTGCAATGATAGTGACTTAACCCTCATCTTAGACACATGGAAAATTCCATTTTTTAATTTTATTTTTTCCTTTATTTATTTTACTTTTTCTTTTTTTTTTTTTGTACAGATAGAGTGGGAGGGAGAGAGAGGAAGAGACAGAGAGAGAGAAACATCGATGTGTTTCACATTGAGTGGCTGCCACCGCATGACCAACCAGGGCCGGGGACAAACTGCAACCGAAGTACATGCCCTTAGCGGGAACCGAACCCGGGTCTCTCCGGACCGCAGGCTGACGCTCTAACTGCTGAGCCAAACCGGCCAGGGCTCCTTTATTGATTTTAGAGAGAGAGGAGGGAGAGGGAGAGAGAGATAGAAACACCTATGAGACAGAACATTGACTGGACAGCTCCTGCATGCCCCCCACTGGGGATCGGGCCCACAACCTGGGCATGTGCCCTGACCGGGAAACGAACTGGCATCCTCTTGGTGCATGGGTCAACGCTCAACCACTGAGCCACAGAGGCCGGGAAGGAAAAAAATTAAAAAAACAAAATAAGAGTTAAAACAGGTAGTTCATTCATTCATTCATTCATTCATCCTCACCTGAGGATATTTTTGTACTTGTTATCAGACAGAATGAGAGGAAGGGAGTGAGGGAGGAAGGGAGAGGGAGAGGGGCAAGGAGAGAGGGAGAGGGGGAGAGGAAGAGAGGAAGGGGGGGGAGGGAGAGAGAGAGAGAGAGAAACATCAATGTGATAGAGCCACATTGACTGGCTGCCTCCCGCACGACCTAACCAGGGCCAGGGACGAACCACAACCTAGGTACGTGCCCTTGACCAGAACTGAACCCACAACTCATTGGTCCACAGGCCGACGCTCTAACCGCTGAGCCTAACCAGTCAGGGTTTCATTGATTTTTTTTTTTTTTAAATATGTTTTTATTGATTTTTTAGAGAGAGAGAGAGAGGAAGAGATAGAGATATGTAAACATTGATGTGAGATGGCTGCCTCCTGCACAACACCCACCAGGGATCGAGCCAGCAACCTGGGCATGTACCCGGACTGGGAATCAAACTGGGACCTCTCAGTCCACGGGAGGGCGCTCAATCCACTGAGCTACACTGGCTGGGATCCACTGATTTTTAGAGAGTGGAAGGGAGGGAGGAGGAGAGTGAGAGAGAGAGAGAGAGAGAGAGAGAGAGACACACAGAGACACACACACACACACACACACACACACACACACACACACACACAGATTCACTGCCTGCAGCATGCGGCCTGACAGGGGCCAGGGATTGAACCTGCAACCTAGGTACTTGCCCTTAACTGGAAATCGAACCCATTAATCTTTGGTGCATGGGCTGATGCTCGAAACACTGAGCAATACTGACCAGGGCTAAAACAGGCCCTTTATTCTATTTTACTTATTTTTTGGCACTTTATTTAAAAATTTTTTTTTGTTAATCCTCACTCAAGGATATTTTTCCTTTTCTTTCTTTCTTTTTTTTTAGAGTGGAAGGGAGGGAGGGAGAGGGAGGGAGAGTGAAAGACAGAGAAACATTGATGCAAGAGAGACACACTGACTGGCTGCCTCCCACATGAGCCTGACCAGGGCCAAGGATTGAACCTTCAATCCAGGTACATGCCCTTGACCAGGAATCAAACCTGAGACCCTTTGGTATGCAGGCCAATGCTCCAACCACTGAGCCAATCCAGCCAGGGCTAAAACAGGTACTTTATTATTATTATTACTTTCCCTTTATTGATATTAAAGAAGGGAGAGGAAGAGAGAGACAGAAACATCATTGAGAAAGAAGATTGACGGGCTGCCTCCTGTATACGCCCCACTGAGGATCAGGCCCACAACCTGGGCATGACCTGGAATGAAACCAGCAATGTCTTGATGCATGGGTCTTGGTGCATGGGTCGGTGCTCAACCACTGAGTCACACCGGCTGGGCTAAAACAGGCACTTTATTTATTTATTTATTTATCCTCACCCAAGGACTTTTTTCCATTTTTTTGTTCTGATAGAGCGGGAGGGAGAGAGAGAGAGAAACATCGATGTGAAAGGGACACATCGAGAGGATACCACCCGCACGACCAACCAGGGCCGGGGAAAAACCGCAACCGAGGTACATGCCCTTAGCGGGAACCGAACCCGGATCTCTCCGGACCACAGGCCGACGCTCTAACCACTGAGCAAACCAGCCAGGACCTAAAACAGGCACTTTAAACCATCCATTTGTCTTTGTTCCCCTTGAAACCCTATGAAAACAACAGAAATGAATTTTTTTTTTTTATCCTCACCCGAGAACATTTTCCCACTTTTTTGTTCAGATAGAGCGGGAGGGAGAGAGAGGAACAGAGAGAGAGAGAAACATCAATGTGAAAGGAACACATCGAGTGGCTGCCACCCGCACGACCGACCAGGGCCGGGGACAAACTGCAACCAAGGTACGTGCCCTTAGCGGGAACCGAACCCGGGTCTCTCAGGACCGCAGGCCGACGCTCTAACCGCTGAGCCAAACCGGCCAGGGCCAGAAACGAATTTTTTAAAGGCAAAAGCCTAGAAGGAAAATGAGAATGAGAGGAAAAGGTAACAGCAACAAAATTTTCAAAGCTAAATAGCAGATGGATGAATGGTAACTGAAGTAAGAGAATGAAGAAAACTAAATCCCATGTGGAAGAAAGTTAACGGCCAACTCAATTTATGTCAGGATTTGGAAAAAGGATAAGACACCAGATATCTCTAGAAGTGGAGGTAAGACTAGAACTAAAAACAGGTAAAGATGAAGAGGACAGATTAAAGCTGATGAAGAGGCAGTCAACTCCCAATCCTCTCTTCCATTTGGTGTAGCCATGTGAAAGCCTCTCCCCTGCCCTGGCAGCAGCATTTCTTAAAAAGATGATCTCTGGACTGAGGCTATCAGGCATAACTGAGGGTAGAAGTACTACAATGAACAAATATAGAAACTCCAGCTTCTTCCTCTCCTGCTTTCCCACAGTCCCTCTGCCATTCACTATTTTAGTATATTCGATGAACCAAAAAAGCCATTGGAGCCCTGGCCGGTTTGGCTCAGCGGTTGGAGTGTCTGCCTGCAGTCCGGAGAGACCCCGGTTCGGTTCCCGCTAAGGGCATGTACCTCGGTTGCAGTTTGTCCCCGGCCCTGGTTGGTCGTGCGGGTGGCAGCCACTCCCTGTGTCTCTTTCACATCGATGTTTCCCTCTCTCTCTCTTCCTCTCTCTCCCTCCCACTCTATCTGTACAAAAAATGGAAAAATGTCCTCGGGTGAGGATAAAAAAAAAAAAAAAAGCCATTGGAAATTTAAAACGTGAGAAGAAATAAAGAACTCAACTTGGCATAAGGATCAGAAGAAAAAGATGAATATCTCAGAAAGTACATCATAAAGACAAAGTGATAGGACAAAAAAGAAGAAAAACAAAAGGACTAGCCTGAGAGGCCTAACATCTGACTACTGGGCATTATGGAGTGAACAGATCAAATGAAGGGGAGAAAACCATCCATACGTAAATCGAGAAAATTTCCCAATACTGAAACACATGAGTTTCCAACTAAGGTTTATCAAGTGCCTTGCACAATTAATTAAACTAGATCCATACTAAGGAATATTATCATGAAATTTCAAACAGTAAAGAAGAGGAAAAAATCCTACATGCTGCCACAAAGAGGGCAAAAACAGATACACAAATATTCAAGAGTCAAAACAGCATCAAATTTCTAAATCACCAGCATTAAAAACCAGAATAAAATGGAGCAAAGCCCTTAGAGATAGCTGATAAAAATTATTTCCCAACTACAATTCTGGATTACTGAAGGAGAGTAGAACAGAAACATATTTTTAAACATTCTTTTGAATAATTATAGATACACAAGAAATTACAAAAACAGTATGGAGAAGTCTTATGTACCCTTTACCTAGTTCCCCCAATGGTAACAGCTTATGTTACACTGTAACAATAGTTATGTATACAAACCAGGTATCCAGAACAATAGCAAAACTAGGAAACTAATATTGATAAAATCCACAGACTGATATATAGTTTAAATTTTAAAATCTGATTCTCAAAAATTCTTCCTCAGCATGCTATTAGGATGTGCTCCACTAAAACAAAGAAGTAAAGCAAAAAGATATGGGATTCAGGAAATAAGAGGATCCAACATAAGTAAGAAGCAAGAAAAAAAAGAGCAACAACAACAAAACAAACAGCGTGATGGTAAAGAAAAAGCCCAAGCAAGCTGAGAGAGCAACATATTTAAAGGAGCATCAGAGGGCTCAGGTAAAGGTTTCTTCAGCAAGATGAAAATGATAGAACACCTAAAATGTTTGAACACACTGACAAGAGATTTATAAAACTGAAGTACATTTCAGTGTTGAACTGATAATAAATACATAATAAAACCAAGCACCCACTTACCCCCTCAAAATACAATTATTAACTCCAGGAGAAATAAAATGTTCCGTAGGAACAGCAAAGTAATCGTGATACACTACACAGCTCAGCTGTGAGGAGCATTTACACAGTTCTTATAATGTAAACCCTGAATATCATCTAACTGAAATTGTGATATAATTATAGTGAGAAAACTGGAGGACACAAGATACTGATGTTTGTGGAAGGAGTATGGGACTGAAGAGAAATGTAAGAGTTTATCTTCCATGGTTTAAAGTTTCATAAGTAAGGTCTAAATCCAAAACAGCAAGTGGTATCAATTACAAGCATGTTACCTAGACATGGAGGCATATGCACCATCCACCAAAAAACCTTGGTTAGCAGGAAATAGGGAGAAAAATGGTTCTTCATAATAAGCTTCATATAACTGTTTGACTTTTTAAACCATTTAAACGATGTACTTGCCTCTTTAAAGTATATACTTTACACTTTTGATGTAAATATCTGAATACAAAGAGTTAAGGAGAGCCCTGGTCAGTTTGGCTCAGCAGAACTTAGGCCTGCAGACTAATGAGTCACAGGCTCAATTCTAGTTAAGGGCACGTACCTCTGTTGCGGCTCGTCCCTGGCCCTGGTCTGGGTCGTGCAGGAGGTAATTAGTCAATGTGTCTCTCTCACATTGACATTTCTTTCTCTCTCCCTTTCTCTCCCTCTCCCCCCCTCCTACTCTATCTGAAGATAATTAGAAAAAAAATATCCTGGGATGAAGATTTTAAAAAATAAAAAAGAGTTAAGGAGAAAGAATAAGTGGAGTGTTGTCTACCCTTTCTTTCAAAAAGGTTAGAGTGAAAGAGAATTAACGGCTAGAGGGAAACATTGATTCGAAAAATATTTTAAGACTTAACAACTTATTGATTTTGAGAGAGGGGGTAAAGGAGAGGGAGAAAGAGAAACATTGATGTGAGAGCGGAACATTAATCAGCTGCCTCCTGCATGCCCTCTACAAGGGATCAAGCCCACTACCCAGGCATATGCCCTGACCAGGAATTAAACCAGCAATCATCTGGTGCACAGGGCAATGCCCAATCAACTGAGTCACACTGGCCAGGCAAGACTTAGCAATTTTATTTTAGGAGAAATAATATCCATAACAGAGGAAGAAGATGATATGCCAGAGGAAAATATAGAACAATGTCCCTGAAAAGGCAAGAGGGCAATTAATCTAGTACACAGGTGTAAGGAATTGCCATAGATAACCGATCCTGCTCTTCATCGAGACTTAGAATGAAAAAAGAATGGTTGCTCATAAGAGACCCTGGAGGTGGAGTGTGCAGGAAACACTTACTTTAAAGATGTTGTCAGGGGCTCTGTTCATGCTGCGGTTCTTGATTCTCACTGTCAGTTGGTGGGCAGTCTTGCAAGTTAGAAGGTACTTGCTGATTAGAGGCTTAGGAAACTCAGTCCCTTCAAAGTGCTTCAGTCCTAAAGCTAACAAACTGAGAAAGAAGCAATGACATGAAATCTCACTTCACAGTCCATTCTTCCAAAAAGCCTCACCAGACTAACTCCTCATTTTACAATCCACTTTTTCGACATCTAAATCTTATATAACTTAATGGCTACTCAAAAAAAATTTCAGATATTTACTGAGTGCTAATAAGTACTATGAATAAGACTCAATCAGGAGTTCACAATCAGGTGGGAAGAGGAAAACCTAAACATAAATCACTAATAAATGTCATATTATGTGAGCTTTCATACTTTGTATTTCCTTTGAACTTTGTATTCAAAGGAAGAAGGAAGGGTCTAATAAAACAAATATAAAATGAACAATGGGCATATAAAATCAATACCAGCACTACCTCCCATCATAACATAATCTACTGTGGTTAGCTATGTACATTTTTACTGATGGCAATGGGGCAAAACATATCAAGAGCCATAAAAATGTTCATAACCTTTATTGAATACTCTCATTCTTGGAAATTTACCCAAAGAGATAAACACCAAAAGTTTTCAAAAGCTCAATGTACAGCCCAGCCAGAGTGGTTCAGTTGGTTGAGTGTCATCCTGTGCACTGAAAGGTTGCCAGTTCGATTTCCGGTGAGGGCACATAGAGAAGGCAATTGGTAACAATTGATGTTTCTCTCTCATATCAATGTTTTGTTTTGTTTTTTACCCTCTCCCTTCCTCTCTCTAAGCATGTCCTCGAGTGAGGGTTTTAAAAAAAAGGTTCTATGTACAAAGCTCCTTGGTGAAGCCTCACTCAACTGCAAAATAGCAGAGGGGGTGAAAGTGGCATATAAGAGAAATATCACAGGGCTATTAAATATTGCTTTAAAAGACAGTATACAGAAACAACAAAAAAGGACAATGTTATAGCAAATAGAGAAACAATTTCAAAAAGATGTTTGGATAAAAATTTTTTCCTTTGGAAAATTTCCTCTAATAGTATATATTACAAGTTTGTTTTTTTAAATAAATAAAAGACAAAATACAATTTAAAATGTTTGAAAAATGTGCATGTCATTCCCCAAAAAGAACAGAAGTATCTGGCAATGCTGAAACAAGCACTTACTATAGAACCTTATACCCATCAACATCGATTTTCTTTGTCTTTTGTGTCCATGTCTTATACATGCCTATTTTTCCTAAGCTCCTCAAGAAAGAAGAACTAGACCCTTACTCCCGACAACAAACCCTTACTTGTCCTCAGCTTTGGTGAATGAATTCTTATCCTGGGGATTCTTTGCCTTCAGAGAACACACTGGAAGTAGCTCTGGATACATGAAAACTTTGCTTGTGGCCAGGATCCAGGCCACTTGCTTTGGCAAACAGGGAAATTTACAGGCTATAAGAAAACAAAAAACAAAAAAACCCTAATAAATTAAATTCTGGAACAAAGATGACTTCATAAATGCTTCTGAATGCATTTTTGCATTTAGATAGAGCTGCCCCTACCCAACTTGATGCCCTCCCAAACCACAAAACCCTCCCCACAAAAGTTTCCACAACTTTCTGAGCCTAACATACACCTCATAGGATGTTATTAAAGGTTGATTTTCTTATTCTTTCCTATGTGAAACACTTAACACACTAAGTAACATAAACACTTAGAAAGTACCTAGTAATATCTGGTATATATTGTATACTCAAATGTTTTTACCTCCTCCCCCTTTAAATCCTTGAAAGATAAGTGACCTTTAACAAAGCCTTATTTCTTCTAGAATAAGATTCCAACTTCTTTAATGTCCCTCATAAAGCTGGTATTCCAAATTTTATTTTATTTCATTCTTACTTAACTTTCATTAAGTTCTCCCAGATTCCTCCTGAGGTTGGGAATGTAAAAAACACACACACAAAAAAACCAAACAGGGAATGAGATGATACTGTCTCATTCATTTTTGTCTTGCTGTCTAAGCCTCTCAATTCCAGGCACTGCTGTCTTTCTAGAGATAAGTACTAGAGCTGTACTTCTACTTCCATAAGTGTTTTTATATCACCAGAAGACAAATACAGGACATGGTATGTGTAGGTTATTACTGTAGTTTGGTGTTAAATTAAGTCAGTACCAACATATGGCTAATAAAGTAGTTTGAGATCAGTGTCTGTGACCTAATGCACTTAAATTCAACTATATTCAATTTAATGGTAAGAATCAGCAACTTAGGCCTGGCCAATGTGGTCAGTGGTTACATCATTGGCTCATGCACCAAAAGATTGTGGTTTCGATTTCTGGTCAAGGGCAAGTCCCTGGATTGCAGGTTCAATCCCTGGCCCAGTTGGGGTCATGTGAGTGGCAACCAGTCAATGTGTCTCTCTCTCTCCCTCCCTCCTACTCTATCTGAAGATAAATGGAAAAATATCCTCAGGTGAGGGCTTAAAAAAATAAAGTGAATTAAGTTTGTTACAAATAATTAAAAAATTAAGTATATGCGTGTCTAACCACTATACTGTACACCTGAAACCAACACAAAATAATACTGAAAGTAAACAGTAAGTGAAAAATAAAAAAGTAGCCCAACCGGTGTAGCTAACTGGTTGAGTGTCAATCCATGCACCAAGAGGTAGTCGGTTCGATTCCTGGTCAGAGCACATGCCCAGGTTGTGGGCCCAATCCCCAGTGAAAAGCATGAAGGAGGTGGTCAATCAGTGTTCTCTCTCATTGATGTTTTTCTCTCTCTCTCTCTCCTTTCCTCTCTCTCTAAAATCAATTAAAAAATACATATAGATATAAAATTAAAATTAAAAGTAAACAATAAATACAGAAGCAAATGTTTGACTTAAGGGAACAGGAAATATTTTCTCAAAAAAATACTAAACTAATGCAAATTTCTTTAAAATATTAAACATGGCACATAGACAACATCTCGAATTTGTGCCCTGTCCCAAATCACCATTCATTAAAAATGGAGATACTACAATTGTTACAGGATATAAAGTGACCATAATGAAGAACAGAGGAAAATGTAAACATGACCCATCTTTCCCCACTTGACTTCCATCTTTCCCAGATCCCAGTTTGTTTTATCTCACTCCTAATGCTTACCCACACGTCTATTTAAGTTCAATTCATTGCACTAAGTCCTAAATCTCTACCACTCACAATCCTGACCTATCTACTGCCTCCATCCCTTATCTCAGCCCAAATATATCATGTAATTCTAGAACTTAATGAGTATAAGGGAGGATAAAAGACTAAATGAAATTAAAAATATCCTGTCTCCTCCACCCCTAGGAGATTATCTATGAGATAAGACTCTCATTTCTCATTGTTTATAAAAACCTGAAGGAGACACATCTGTCCCCTACCTGTCTTGACAGTTTTACGAGGACTCCAGTCAATGCTGACATGTGCGTTGAAATCTTCAATGAGCTTCATGGCTCCCATCAGGTTACAGGGTTGAAACAAGGTCTGAAACTTGGGGTTGAACTGATGGTGAAGGGCGATGGAGCTTTGAGCAAAGGTTCCCAGCTCTTCCTGGGAAAACGGGACACAAAGGAAATTTAAATTCCAGACCATTAATACCAATAGCACTGCTTAGCTCTTCGTGAAAAATGGTCCTTCCTATTACAGTATAAAAACAGGTAAAAATCATCCTAAAGTCTTCCACAATTAACATTACCTCTTTAAGACTGCAAGTCAGAACAATACTCTTCATTTTTTTTTAACCCCCACCCAAGGTTATATTTTTCCCATTTATCTTCAGATAGAGTGGGAGGGGGGAGGAAGAGAAAGAAACACCAATGTGTGAGAGACACATTAACAGTTGCCTCCCGCACAACCCTGATCAGGGCCGGGTATCCAACTCCAACCAAGGTACGTGTCCTTGACTGGAATCAAACCTGCGACTCTCTGGTCTGTGTGCTGATGCTCTAACCACTGAGCAAAACTGGCCAGGGCCAGAGCAATACTCTTTACCTGGGCATGTGCCCTGACCAGGAATCAAACCGGCGACCTCTTGGTGCACATGGGTTGAAGCTCAATCACTAAGCCACACCAGCCAGGCCAGAGCAATACTCTTAAGAAAACTAAATACACTCTGTCCTTTCATGAAAATCAGTGGTTTCTATTCTCTCAGCAAACATAGGAAGCCATAACAATAGCTACCAACACATGCAGGAAAGAAATGTAGATTATGTTGAGTGAATATCTGTGAGAAACGCCTTACCAAGCTAACTATATACTCAGGATTTTAAGAGTTAGGGACATGGAACCTTACAAGAAATATCCTGGTAGTACTGGCCTCCGAGTTGAGATTGGGGTTGGAGGTGGAGAGAAGGTGAATTTGCGTCAAGAGCTGAACATGCTGGGAGGGAAAGAAAATAATACAATGTCATTTCAGGAGCCCAGAAGATCTTACCAAGATATTTGTAACTCTATTGTTTATCTTTTGCTTCCTGGAAAAACTATGAGAACTACATAATATCTTGGAATGAATTTCGCAGATATGTTCCCCTTGAGCAAAATGATAGAACCAGAGGAAGTTTAACCTCAAACCAGAAAAACTGAGATTAGAAAGAAAAACTACTCCAGCAGTGAGGCTGTTAAATTCAGAATAGATTACTAAGGATGCTTTGAAATCTATAATTCTAAATATTATCAGGATCCTTACATGAATTCTTGCCTGAGCCATAATGACTCATGAACAAAAAATTCTCAAGGGCCTAGTTCAGTGGTTCTCAACCTTCCTAATGCCCCAACCCTTTAATATAGTTCCTCATGTTGTATGTGGGCTTATCTGCATGTAGGCAGACTGGCCTGGAGATGGATAGAGAAGCGGTGTCTCAGTTACTAAGACCATCAGAAATATGTGTTTTCTGATGGTCTTAGGTGACCCCTGTGAAAGGGTCATTCGACCCCCAAACTGGTCACGACCCACAGGTTGAGAACCGCTGGCTTAGTTGATGTGAAGATCCTGTGGTCCTATGGTTTCAAAGGGTATTAAGACACCTATTTCTGACTTTTACAAGGCTGCTAACTTTCGGTTTCAGGTCAAGCCATGGAATAATCCAATTTTAACATTATGAAGAAGAATCTTACCTGCTGCATCTGCTGCTGGAGTCTCTTCCTCTGTGCTGGGTCTAGAATCAGAGTCTGAGGAACTTTCTCAGTCTGGGGCTTAACCCTCTCTACCTCCTGCTGCTGTTTGGCTGAAGATTTCTTCAACTTCAGCTGTTCAAGCAATTCCTTCATTGTACGATGTTGCTCATTTAGCAAGTTGGCCAGTGGTTCCTCAAACCTATCCCCAACAGGGAGATGATTGAATTTGAACATTTCCCTAGGTCCACAACACATCCAATTCCTTCTAATAGTAGTCTAAGAGAGTCTGAATAATTTCTATCTACTGATAATTCCTAAATCCCACTTTAGCCAACAATCAAAACTCATAGTCTATCCAAAGTTATGAGCATAGATTCAAATAAGATGGTACCCTCTCCCCATTTTTCAACAATCAGGCCTCTAAGTAATATACAAATAAAAGGGAAATTAAACAAAAATCTAAGAGCAAAGGAACATCAGGATAACAAAGCAATCAAGGAGCTAATAGAAACTCATCATTCTAGTATCATACTGATATCTACATTAACCTGGGATTTGTTCTTAAAAGTGATATAAAATCTTCTCAAAGTACAGTATATGTTCTCTGATTTACCCATTACTCCAATCCTTGATATAGCTTCTCCCATTCCAAGGTTTTTTATTTTTAAAATTGATTCTAGAGAGAGGAAAGAAGAGGAAGAGAGGGAGAGAGAGAGAGAAACATCAACAATGATCGGCTGCCTCCTGCACGCTCTCCCCTGCTGGGGATCAAGCCCACAACCTGAGCATGTGCCCTGACCAGGAATTGAACCATTGACCTTTTGGTGCATGGGTCGATGCTCAACCACTGAGCCACATCAGCAGACTCCCATTCCACTCTTATCCATTTGGGACCTTCAGACATGAAGCAACAAAGGGATATACTAGAATACATGGCAGTTTAACTGACCTGGTGAATACAGCTCACTACATCGTTAACTCCCTGAAACCCCATCTGGGTGAGATGAAGGGCTGGCTAGAAACCCAGCTGAACTCATAAATGATCTGCCCATAAACATTCATCCTAAGCTCAAGCCTAGAAACAGAAGCTCAAAAGGTGCCAGAGACATACCATGGACACAAACATACATAGACAAACTGAATAGTAGGGCTTCAAGACAAGGGCTGCTACTATCCCTGTGTTAAACCCTCCTCCGACACAGCCGGCAGACACAGGAGGGTGCCAAATCTAGATCTGTATTACCCTGGTAAACAGCACCATTCTGGTGACCCCAAGACCCCACTCCATCTGACTCGCAAATCATCCTTGGCTTTCACAGTAGTTGTGCCTCATAGGCAGCCAGCACTGAACTGCACTGCAAACATTCTGAAAAACTCACTGAAGTCTGCAGGCCCATGGCAGATGGCAACTGGCCTCGGGATGCCCGATCCCTCTGACTAAGCGGTCTCAGGCCCAGCAGAGAGAGATACTAACCGCGGATCACTCTGTAGCTCTTACCAAGTGGCCCAGGCCAGGAATAAATGAATTTAGTGAGAACTTACACAAAGAGATATAAACCATAAAAAAGAAACAGTCAGAAATAAAGAATACAATAACAGAATCAAAAACAGATGAGATAAAGCAGAGAACTGAATCAGTGACTTAGAAGACAAGGTAGAAAACAACACCCAATTGAAACAGCAAAGAGGAAAAAAATATATATATATATGTTATATATTTTAAATGAGGATAGTTTAAGTGACTGCTGGAACATGAAGCGTAATTAACATTCATATCATAAGGGTACCAGAAGGAGAAGAGAAAGAGCTCAAGGGACTGAGAAATTATTGAAAGACATAATGACTGAAAACTTAACTTGGAGAAAGAAATAAACTGAAAAACACACAAACACACAAAGGCTAAAGGACATGCAACTAAATAATGAATAAATTAACAACAAGATTAGGATAGAAATCAAAAGATACCTTAAGATAAATGAAAATGAACACACAACGACCCAACATCTATGAGACACAGCAAAAGCAGTTCTAAGAGGGAAATTCATAGCATTAAAAGCTTACCTAAACAAATAAGAAAAATCTCAAATAAACAATTTAACTTTACACCTACAGGACCAACAACAACAAAATGAACAAGATCTAAGTAGAAAGAAGATAATAATAAAGATCAGAGTAGAAATAAATTAAATAAGACTCTAAACAAATAGCTGGGTCTTTGAAAACATAAACAAAATGGATAAACCTTTAACTAGACTCACCAAGAAAAAAAAAAGAGGACCCAAATAAACGAAATAAAAAACAGGAACCCTCTCCATGGGCCAGGTGAGGACACAGCAAGAAGGCAAGATTCTACATGCCAGGAGGAGAATCTTCACCAGAAACCATCAAGGTGAAACCCTGATCTTAGACTTCTAGCTTACAGAAATGTGAATAAAAAATAAAAAAAAATTGTGTTATTAAGCCATCCACTCAAAAAAAAAAAAAAAACACACCCAGAAAATCAAAACAGACCAATACCTATGATTAAAATCAAATCAGTAGTCCTGGATGGTTTGGCTCAGCGGTTAGGGTGTCTGCCCACTGACCAAAGAGTTATGGGTTTGATTCTGGTCAGGGGCACATGTCTCAGTTGCAGTTTGGTCCCCGGTCCTGGTGAGTGTTGTGGAGGAGGCAACCAATTGATGTGTCACTCTCACGTTGCTACTTCTCTCCCTCTCCCTCTCTCCCTCCCATTCTACCTGAATGAATGGAAAAGTATCTTTGGATAAGAATTAAAAAAAAAAAAAAAAATTAAATCAGTAATAAAAAACACTCTCCCTGTCCAGTGTGGCTCAGTAAATTGAGCATCATGCCATGAACTGATAGATCCCAGTTAAATTTCCATTCAGGACACATGCCCAGGTTGTGGGACAAATCCCCAGTGGGGGGCATGCAGGAGGTGGCCAATCGGTGTTCTTTCTCATCAATGTTTCTATCTCTCTCTCCCTCTCCTTTCCTCTCTTTCTACAATCCAAAAAGAAAAATAAAATCTCAACAGACTGATACCTACAATTAAAATCAAATCAGTAGCCCTGGCCAGTTGGCTCAACAGTTAGGGCATTTGCCCACAGACCAAAAAGTCACAGGTTCAATTCTGGTCAGCGGCAGATGCCTTGGTTGCGGTTTGGTCCCTGGCCCTAGTCGGGGTCATGCAGGAGTCAACCAATCAGTGTGTCTCTCTCACATCAATGTTTCTCTCTCTCTCCCTCCCTCCCACTCTATTTGAATAAACGGGAAAGTATTCCTGGGTAAGGATTTAAAAAATAAATAAAATCAGTAATAGAACAAAACCCTGGCCAGTGTGGCTCAGTGAATTGAGTGTCATCCCATGGACTGAGAGGTCCCGATTTGATTCCTGGTCAGGGCACACGCCTGGGTTGCATGCTCGATCCCCAATAGGGGGCATGTAAGGGGCAGCTGATCAATGTTTCTCTCTCACATTAATGTTTCTCTCCCTTCCTCCCTCTGAAAAAATCAATAAAAACATATTTAAAAAAAAAACAAAACAGCCCTGGCCAGTTTGGCTGAGCGGTTAAAGCGTCGGCCTGCGGTCCGGAGAGACCCGGGTTCGGTTCCCGCTAAGGGCACGTACTTCGGTTGCAGTTTGTCCCCGGCCCTGGTTGGTCGTGCGGGTGGCAGCCACTCGATGTGTCCCTTCACATCGATGTTTCTCTCTCTCTCTTCCTCTCTCTCCCTCCCACTCTATCCATACGAAAAATGGAAAAGTGTCCTCGGGTGAGGAAAAAAAACAACAAAAAAAACAGCCCTGGCCAGTTTGGTTCAGTGGTTAGAGCGTCGGCCTGCGGTCCAGAGAGACCCGGATTCGGTTCCTGCTAAGAGCACATACCTCAGTTGCAGTTTGTCCCTTGCCCTGGTTGGCCGTACGGGTGGCAGCCACTCGATGTGTCCCTTTCACGTCGATGTTTCTCTCTCTCTCTCTCTCTCTCTCTCTCTCTCTCTCTCTCTCTTCCTCTCTCTCCCTCCCACTCTATCTGAACAAAATATGGAAAAATGTCCTTCGGTGAAGATTAAAAAAAAAAAAACAAACTCCTAACAAACAAAAGTCCAGGACTGTATGGCTTCATAGGTAAATTTTACCAAACATCAAAAGAAAAATTAACTTCTATCCTTCCAAAATTATTACAAAAATTCAAGAGGAGGGAAAACTCCTAAGCTCATTGTACAAGGCCAGCATTACCCTGACTCCAAAACCAGAAAAGGACTTTACCGAAAAAAGAAAATTAGCCCTGGCCAGTTTGGCTCAGTGGTTGGAGCATCAGCTGTGGACATGGGGTCTCGGGTTCAGTTCCAGTCACGGACACATACCACAGTTACAATGCATCCCCAGCCCTGGTCGGGTCGTGCAGGAGGTAACCAGTCAATGTGACTCTGTCACGTCAATGTTTCTCTCTGTCTCCCTCCCTCCCTCCTACTCTGTCTGATAATAGGTGGAGGCACATCCTTGGGTAATGAATGAATGAATGAATGAATGAATGAATGACAAAAAAAGAAAATTATAGGCTAATAACCCTAATGAACATAGATGCAAAAATCCTCAAGAAAATATTAGCTAAACAAAGTCAGCACTACATTAAAAAGATCATATGCCACGATGAAGGATTTATTTTGGGGAGGAAAGGTTGGTTCAACATCCACAATCAATGTGATATATCAAAACAAAGGATAAAAAAACATATGATCACATCAATAAATATAGAAAAAGCATTCAACAAAATTCAGAAAAAGCATTCAACAAAAATTCTCAGCAACATGAAAAGAGGAAATATACCTCAACGTAATAAAGGAGTATATGACAAATTCAAAGCTAACATCATTCTCAATGGCAAAAAGCTTCAAGTGTCTTCCCTAAGCCCAGCCAGTGTGGCTCAATGGATTAAGCATTATCCCCTGGACTGAAAAGTCCCAGTTTAATTCCCGATCAGGGCATATGCCCGGGTTATGGGCTTGATCCCTAGAGGTGGACACATAGGAGAAAGCCAATCGATGTTTCTCTCTCTCTCTAAAAGAAATCAACAAAAACATATTTTAAAAAACTTTTTAAGTGTTTTCCTTAACATCAGGAACAAGACAAGGATGTCCACTTTACCACTTTTATTCAACATAGTATTAAAAATCCTAGCAACAGCAATCAGACAAAAAAAAAGTAACCAAACTGAAAAGAAATAAGTAAAACTATTATTTAAAAATGACATAATACCATAGACAGAACCCTAAGGATTCTACCAAAAACTATTAGAATTGATAACTAAATTAGTAAAGTAGTAGGATACAAAATTAATATTCAGAAATCAGTTGCATTAAAAAAAAAATTTTTTTTTTCTTTATTGATTTTTAGAGAGAGAGTAGGGGAGAGGGAGAGAAAGACAGAAACAAGGAGAGATAGTAACATCGATGAGACAGGACATCAATTGGCAGCCTCCTGCATACCTCCCACTGGGAAGTGGGCCCACAACCTGGGCATGTGCCCTGACTAGGAATCAAACCGGCAACCTCTTGGTACATGGGTTGATGCTCATCCACTGAGCCACACCAGCAAGACCCAGTTGCATTTTTCTATACCAATAATGAATAATCACAAAAAGATATTAAGAAAATCCAATTTACAGCTACTTTTTTTTGTTGTTGTTGTTCAGATAGAGCGGGAGGGAGAGAGAGGAAGAGAGAGAGAGAGAGAAACATCGATGTGAAGGGACACATCGAGTGGCTGCCACCCGCACGACCAACCAGGGCCGGGGACAAACTGCAACCGAGGTACGTGCCCTTAGCGGGAACCGAACCCGGGTCTCTCTGTACCGCAGGCCGATGCTCCAACCGCTGAGCCAAACCGGCCAGGGCCAATTTACAGCTACTTAAAAAAAAAAAAACACCACCTAGAAGTACATTTAACCAAGAAGGTAAAACAGCTGTATGCAGAAAATTCTAAGACTTGAAGAAAGAAAATGAAAAAAACACAAATAAATGAAAGCATATACCGTGCTCATAGATAGGAATAATTAACACTGTTAAAATGTCCAGCCTGGCCCTGGCCGGTTTGGCTCAGCGGTTAGAGTGTCGGCCTGCGGTCTAGAGAGACCCAGGTTCGGTTCCCGCTAAGGGCACGTACCTCGATTGCAGTTTGTCCCTGGCCCTGGTTGGGCCGTGTGGGTGGCAGCCACTCGATGTGTCCCTTTCACATCAATGTTTCTCTCTCTCTCTCCCCCTCCCACTCTATCTGAACAAACAATGTCCTCGAATGAGGACAAAAAAAAAAAAAAAAAATGTCCAGCCTGGCTGGTGTGGCTCAGTGATTGAGCATTGACCTATGCACCAAGAGGTCACCCACTTGATTCCCAGTCAGGGCACATGCCCAGGTTGTGGGCCCAATCCTCAGTGTGGGGCATGCAGGAGGTAGCCAATCGATGTTTTCTCTCATCAATGTTTCTATCTCTCTCTCCCTCCCCCTTCCTTTCTCTAAAATCAGTAAAGAAAAAATATTTTTTAAAAAAAGACTATCATGCCCTGGCTGGTTTGGCTCAGCGGTTAGAGCATTGGCCTGCGGTCCAGAGAGACCCAGGTTTGGTTACCGCTAAGGGCACGTACCTCGGTTGCAGTTTGTCCCCGGCCCTGGTTGGTCATGCGGGTGGCAGCCACTCAATGTGTCCCTTTCACATCAATGTCTCTCTCTTTCTCTCTCTCCCACTCTGTCTGAACAAAAAATGAAAAAATGTCTTCAGGTGAGGATGAAAAAAAAAGAGTATCTTACCATTTCAACAACATGATGACCCTAGAGGGTATTATGCTAAGTAAAATAAGCCAGACAGAGAAAGATGAATATCATATGATTTCACTTCTATGTTGAATCTAAAGAACAAAATAAAATAAACAAACAAACAAACTAGAAACAGACTCATAGATACAGAGAACAAATTGATGGTTGCCAGATGGGAGAGGAATAGAGAGACTGAGTTAAAAAGGTGAAGGGATTAAGAAGTATAAATTGGCCCAGCCGGTGTGGCTCAGTGGACTGATCATTGATCCATGTACTGATAGGTCCCAGTTCGATTCCTAGTCAGGGCACATGTCTGGGTTTCGGGCTTAATTCCCAGTAGGGGATGTGCAAGAGGCAGCCAACTAGTGTTTCTCACATCGATGTTTCTATCTCTCTCTCCTTTCCTCTCTCTCTGAAAAAATCAATAAGAACATATATTTTTTAAAAAGTACAGCCCTGGCTGGTTTGGCTCAGCAGTAAGAGTATTGGCCTGCGGACCAATGCACTACAGGTTCAATTCCGGTCAAGGGCATGTACCTTGTTGGTGGTTCGTCACCTGCCCTGGTTGGCTGTGTGGGTGGCAGCCACTCAATGTGTCCCTTTCACGTCGATGTTTCTCTCTCTCTCTTCCGCCCACTCTATCTGAACAAAAAATGGAAAAATGTCCTCGGGTGAGGATTAAAAAAAAAAAGAACTACCGTATTACTACTAAAATACCTTCTTTTAGCCCTCTCAATTCCTCCTCCAAATTTTCTATCCCTCCTCTCCCATCCCTACCTCCTAAGTCCTGTGTCCAGGGCTGAAGCAAGAATCCAAATACCTACCATGCTAGTTCTGAGATAGAGGCAGAAGACAGTTAAGTGATTAAGAACAAGCTGATACCCCATGCAATCAGTTTAAGACCTTTTCAAGTAGGTATGACTAACAGGTTATCCTATATCAAGAAATCCTCTATACACTGTAGCAATAGTTAAATGAGAATAACTCTTTCAATAGCCTCTGAGAATAAAGACTATTATGTTCCCTTTTGCAGTATTTTCTGTGTGTGGGCGGGCACCAGGTAAAAACTTAAGGATATGTGACTATCCACTGTACAACCTTCACTGAGAACTGAAAACTCTTGATTATGTGCACCACTAGCAGATTAATGGAAGGGCAGATGCATGAAAAAAGTAGGTAATGCAAAAATAGGTTGCACCTGATTCTAATAAAAATTTCTTGGATAGTTGGTAAGGCGAGCACAGATAACTCACCTTCACCATGATATTTTATTGAATCAAGAGTAAAGTAGGCTTGTATTTCCAACTAAAAGAAAAGCAGCAGCAGCCCAAGCAGACCAATTGAATACCAGAAAGTAACAGAATTTGGACATGGATTTTAAATTAGCTATATAATCTCTAAATTTAAAATATTTGTTTACAGAGTTGATTAGTGAAACTGAAATAGGTTTACAGATCAAATCCCATTTTAATAAGTTCCCAGGAGGAATGGTTCCATTCTGCAAGACCAGAATTTTGTCCTATGAACTATGACCTGAAGTAAGTGGGTTAAATATACTCTTAGAAATCTTGAAAATGTTCTTTTAAAAAAAAAAAGTAGCCCTGACTGGTTTGACTCAGCAGTTAGAGCGTCGGCCCGTGGACCAGAGAGTCCCGGGTTCGGTTCCTGCTAAGGGCACATACCTCGGTTGCAGTTTGCCCCTGGCCCTGGTTGGGTCATTCGGTAGCAACCACTCGATGTGTCCCTTTCATGTCGATGTTTCTCTCTCTCTCTCTCTCTCCCTCCCATTCTATCTGAACAAAATATGGAAAAATGTGCTTGGGTGAGGATTAAAAAAAAAGTGTTCGGGTGAGGACTTAAAAAAAAAAGTAATTATGTTAGGTGATAGAAGTGTTAATGAAATAAAGAGGGGAAATCCTTTCACAATCTATATCTGTATCAAACTATCACATTGTACACTTTTAATATCTTACAACTTTGTCAATAATACCTCAATAAAGCTAAAAAGGGAAATCCTGAAATATTTGTTATAATTACATTGTGGTATTTATTGTAATGGAGTATAACTAATATTGCTAGCTTTAAACATTGCTTAGTATACATAGTCTTTTTCACTAAAATGCAAGTTTCCAGACAGTCTAGCTTTCAGATGGATCCCAAGCTCTCTAGTTAGGTAATGCAGTTCAGTTAAAACACAGGACTAATTAAAGGCTGTGATCACTTTGCTTTGTTCCACCCATGGTATAAACCACACCTTGACCTCTGTTTTACTCAGAATGGATAACAATAAAGTATAAATAGACTATGCAAACCCATCACAAAAATAGGGGAAAAAAATTAAAGTCTCAGCTTTCTGGGTGGGGCAACAGAAGTGCCAACTTTATGTGAAGAAGGTAGTATATGTATAATTCAAACTCTAGGGCATTACTGCAGGTGCTTCATGGTTTGCTCAATTAATGCTTAGGTGATTAACAAACTTTCATTAACATTTACCAGATGTTAATGAAAAATTAAGAGAACAAAAAGGGACATGCTGGATATGACAATTTGGGATAGTTTTTTTTTTTTTCCCTTTATTGATTTTAGATAGAGAGGAAGGGAGAGGGAGAGACAGAAACATCAATGAGAGAGAAACTCAATTGGCTGCTTCCTGCATGCCCCCCACTGGGGACTGGGCCCACAGCCTGGGCATGTGCCCTGATCAGGAACTGAACCGGTGACCTCTTGGTGCATGGGTCAGTGCTCAACCACTGAGCCACACCAGCCGGGCTGGGATAGTTTTTATGGCTGGCTACATCGAGTCCTATATACCTTTCCAGCACCACTCACCTGGAGAAGCTGCTATGGATGCCAGCTGCTGTTTTTCCCAAACAGATACAGCTTGGTCTAGAGCTACACTGGCTCATCATAAGGAGACTTATTCACTTGAAAACTAACACTACCCTAGGTATGGGAAATTAACTGAAATTTCTGAAAACCTTTTTAGAATATACTTTTTCTCCATTCTAAGTTTTAAGGTCTTTGACAGGCCTACCGTAGGGCTTGAGGAGTGTTAAAGTTAGGTCGAGGTTCCGCCACACGTTCTTCCTCCTCTGGGCCATCATCTTCCATGTTGGGGAATCCCATCTCATCTTGGAACTGAGGAAAAGGAAAAGAAGGGTTTCCTGGGAAATGGGCATGTGAAGTCACTGTAGCAGTGAGAAGGGAAAGTAAAGACTACAGTTTACAGAACTTTAATAATGCTGGCGTCCAGAAAGAGCTTGCACCAGAATCTTTTTCCTACTTCAGTGCTTCCACAGTCCCACACACGGAATGACTAGACTATTACGCCAAAAAGAAAAATCTCTCAACTGGTCAACTAGTAAGGCTAAGAACAGAGTATGGATAACTCACAATAATCATAAATATCTTTCAAGAGACAAATTTATGACAAAGGTAACCATCTGTGGTTAGAATAATTTGAAACAAGCCTGGCCAGTGTGGCCCAGTGATTGAGCGTTGACCCACGCACCAAGAGGTCACTGGTTCGATTCCTGGTCAGGGCACATGCCCAGGTTGTGGGCCTGATCTCCAGTGGGGGGCATGCAGGAGACAGCCAACTGATGTTCTCTCTCATCAGTGTTTCTATCTCTCTCTCCCTCTCCCTTCCTCTCTCTCTAAAATAAAAAAGGAAAAAAATCATTAAAAAATGAAAATAATCTGCCCTGGCCAATTTGGCTCAGCAGTTAGAGCATCAGCTCATGGACCAGAGAGTCCCAGGTCTGGTTCCTACTAAGGGCACGTTAGTTGCAGTTTGCAGTTTGTCCCTAGCCCCTGTTGGGGTCGTGTGGGTGGCAACCAGTTGATATGTCTCTCTCACATCGATGTTTCTTTCTCTCTCTCCCTCCCACTCTATCTGAAGATAAATGCAAAAATGTCCTTGGGTGAGGATTTAAAAAAAAAATCTAAACAAGTTTGCAGTTTTTTTTTTAATGTTTTTCCTTTATTAATTTTAGAGAGGAAGTGAGAAGGAGAAAGAGATAGAAACATCGATGAGAGAGAACATCAACTGGCCGCCTCCTGCATGTCCTCAACTGGGGTATCGGACCCACAACCTGTTACTGGCAATCTCTTGGTGCATGGGTCGACGCTCAACCACTCAGCCACACCAGCAGGACAGTTTGCAATCTTTAAGGATGCACCTAATGATAGCTGGAAAGCCATCCAAAGTTTGCAAGAAAAATTTACTAAGAATTATCTACATATAATCAAAGTTTATTAGTTACCAAATTCTCCTGCCATTATATTTTCTCTAGGGTGGACTAAAGGGGAATTTGCCTAGGTATGAACACCATTCTGGAGGCATGGGCCCTGGGACCAAAAGACAGAGCTTGCTGAAGAATCCACTTTTACCATCCAGAATTCTTACTCAAGGATCATTACTCACAGTTTCAAACAGCTCTTCCATCAGTCCATTCACTTCCTTTTCTGCAAAAAAAGCCAAACAGTATGTTGTTTCCACAGTTAGTTTCATAAGAGGGAATTCCAAGAAGACAATGTGTGTTGTTTTTAGCAATACATTTGACAAATTCCTCATTTATATCTAACATTCATTCATTCAAAAATATTTACTGAACACTAACTATGCCTTGATTCCTGTTCTAGATACTTGAAATACATGACCAAATTAAATATTTTTTCTTTATTAATTTTAGAGAAAGAGGGAGAGGGAAAGAGAGATAGAAACATCAATAAGAGAGAACATCGAATGGCTACCTCCTACATGACCCCCACTGGGGATCAGGCCCACAACCTAGGCATGTGTCCTAACTGGGAATCAGTTCACTGGTGACCTTTTGGTGCATGGGTTGACGCTCAACCACTGAGCCACATGGGCCAGGCTACATGACTGAGTTAAATAATCGTACTCTTGTGAAGACATACATAACATCTGAGCTAGATGATTTTACAATAAGATAAATTCATTTTGTTGACTTATCCTACTGAGTGAAGTCAAGAAAGAAGTCTTGCCTGGCCAGTTTGGCTCAGTGGTTGAGTGTCAACCCATGTACCAAGAGGTCATCAGTTCGATTCCTAGCCAGGGTACATGCACTGGTTGTGGGCCAAATCCCTCGTGGGTGCATGCAGGAGGAAGCCAGTCAATGTTTTCTCCCATTGATGCTTCTATCTCTCTCTCCCTCTCTCTTTAAACTCAATAAAGAAAAAAAATATTTTAAAAAAAGAAAGAAGTCTCTAGTAGTTAGAGTGTCATAGGACCTTGGCTTTGCACTGGAACTATTCAGCAACTCTATCAATGACCTAGAAGACCCAGAAAACAAACTTATGAAATACGTAAATGATATAAAGCTGGAAGGGATTGCCAGACCATTTGATGACAGACTCAAAATTCTGTCTTCTCAAATTAACTGGATAGATATTAATGGAGATAAATTTAAAGTTTTACTTTTAGGATTTTATTTTATTTTTTAGACAGAGTGGGAGGGGGAGGGGGAGGGAGAGGAGGAGGAAGAGGAGGAGGAGGAGGAGGAGGAGGAGAGAGACATCGATGTGAGAGAGACACATTGACTGGTTGTCTCCCACACAACCCAGACCAGGGCCTGGGATTGAACCTACAATCGAGGTACATGCCCTTAACTGGGAATCAATCTTGTGACCCTGGTCCCTAAGCTACACTCCAACTGCTGAGCCAAACTGGCCAGGGCTACGTTAAGGATTTTTAAGAATCAATTCCTTTCTTTTTTTTTTAATGTTTTTCCTTTATGGATTTTTAGAGAGAGAGAAAGTGAGAGGGAGATAGAGATAGAAACATTGATGAGAGAGAACATCGATTGGCCACCTCCTGCATGCCCCCCTTTGGGGATCGGGCCTACAACCTGGGCATGTGACCTGACCAGGAATCGAACCAGTGACCTCTTGATGCATGGGTTGACGCTCAACCACTGAGCCACACCGGCCGGACTAAAAAATCAATTTCTTAAGTGCATAGAAAAGTAACATTGCTTGAACCCAATTAATCTGAAAAAAATCTAAATGTTTTGGTTGAACTAAAGTTCAATATGACAGAACTGCTCCAAAATACTGTTCATATCCAGAAAGGCAAGCATATCACTGGACCAGAGCAGAGTCTCAGGCCATGTCTAGAGGACTGTGATCATTTCTGTAAAGGCCCTTTGAAGAGGACATTAAAAAGCCAAAATCCAAAGGTTGGGAAGGAAATGGAACAACTGGAACACTAAGAAGAATAGAAAACAAAAAGCCACTTTGTTAAGAGATCTGACAATTTCTTATAAAATGAAGCATACACCTACCCTATGATCAATGATTCCTCTCCTAAATAGCTGACCCAAGAAAAATAAAACATTTGTCTACAAAGCCTTGAACAAAAAAGTTCAAAGCACCTCTATTCAAAATAGCCAAAAATCAGACCCCCACATGTCTCAGTTGAGTAGTAGCCTCCTGCATTCTCCTCTATAAATGGGCTCCATGACCTAGCACCCTGGTTGCCACACCTGTGATTGCAGGCTAGTGTCATGAGGGGTAGCCACTGAGGTTTCCACCAGCACACAAGCAAGAGCATGGCAGCCATCCCCTCCAGCAGCTCACACGTGGCCACCCAAGACTACTACTGGTGCTTCCTGTGGTCCACTTCCAGTAACAGCTTTTGTGCATGTTCCGAGTACCCCAGTGAAGGCTTCCTCCACGACCTTGTTCTCCCCAAGGCCAATTCGGTCATTGGTGGGTACATTTCCTTTTGGAGAAGTCTACTCTCCTGTTCATGGATAAAATTTTGGAGTCCCCAGAGCACTTGGAATCTCCCCAGCCATCCAGCAGCATGATCACCTGTGACCTAGCTCGGGGAAGCCACAAAGAAACAGCATGGTGGCCAGCCCGGCAAAGTCAGTATCAGGGCCCCTATCTTGAGTGGCCACCACCAGCCACAAGGTGCTAAGTTCTTTTGAGCCCCTCTCCTCTACCCCTTTACCCACTCCCCACCCCACCCCATAAACTAGGCAGGCTGCAGCAAGGAAAAGCAGTTGGGTTTTTTTACATCAAAACTGCAAAACACCAAAAAGAAAGTTGAGACAGGTTAATTATAGAAGCTAGGTGGTGGATATATGGGTGTCTACTGTACGATTCTTGCAACTTTTCTATATGTTTGAAAAGCTCCATAATAAAATGTAATGAGGGAAACATTTTTTAAAAATTAATCCTCACCAAAGGATTTTTTTCCATTGATTTTTAGATAGAGTGGAAGGGAAGGAGGAGGGAACAGAAAGAGAGAGAGAAAGAGAGAGAGAGAGAGAAACATCAATGTGGAAAAGACACATCAATTGGTTGCCTCTGCATGACCCCTCAGGGTCGGGGATCGAACCTGCAACCCAGGTATGTGCCCTTGACCAGAAATAGAACCTGCGACCCTTTGTTCTGCAGGGCAATGCTCTAACGACTGAGCAAAACAAGCCATGGCGGGAAAAACTTTTTTTAATAAAGGCTAAAATCCAGAGAAGGGTAACTTTGGTAGTAAGAGGTCTAGAAACCAAGGCATTCAGATAACTGAAGAATCTTGGTATGGCTGACTTAGGAAAGAAAAAACTTAGGGAGAAAAACATCTTTTGCTATGTACATTTGGGAGTAAATTATACTTTTTAGCAACAAAGGACAAACAAGAATAAAAAGGTAGATTTAGGTTCAATAAGGAAAATGTTAACTGAGGAGGACACACTTCTGCAGAATCAATAAGCTCCCTGCAATTGAAGATATCTACATAGAGACTTAAAGGCCACATCAGAGGAATTGTAAACAAGTGGGAGAAAAACATATGGCCACATGTAACTTTCCAAACTCTGATTCTATACTTTTGTATTTTAAAAGTTTTGTCATCCATGTAAACATAAATCCTCTTAAAGAGATAATTAAATATGATAACATCAGACATAAAAGGACAAGGGGTAAGAACAAAACTAAAATGCTACCCGTTTTTACTTATGATCACAGACTTCTTTGACTAGAAATGATAGTGCTTCATTCAGACATCCTAAAAAAGTTCACTATTTGATTGGAAAATATTGCCAAGTCCACACAAAACAGCTCTATGCTAATAAACAACACAAAATCCACAAGAAGTTCACAGTCTAGGAACTAATTAAGCAATTACAAGAGCTATGAGTATTAAAAAGGACATAGAGCCCTGGCCGGTTTGGCTCAGCAGTTGGAGCGTCAGCCTGCGGTACAGAGAGACCCGGGTTCGGTTCCCGCTAAGGGCACGTACCTCGGTTGCAGTTTGTCCCCGGCCTGGTTGGTCGTGTGGGTGGCAGCCACTCGATGTGTCCCTTCACATCGATGTTTCTCTCTCTCTCTCTTCCTCTCTCTCCCTCCCGCTCTATCTTAACAAAAAATGGAAAAAATGTCCTCGGGTGAGGATAAAAAAAAAAAAAAAAAGGACATAGAAAGTGGTATGAAGTACACAGCAAGAAGATCAATCCTAATTGAGGAAAAACTCCCTGAAAAATTGTACAGAGTGAGGAAAATTTAGGTTTATAGTCGCAAGTATGTGAAACACAGAAGTTTATTCTTGTATTATTATTATTATATTATTTTCTATATCAACAATTGTAACCCTACTTTTGCCCCATTGCCACGTCTTGTATGTAAACTGAAGAGAGTAACAGAAAGGGAAGGCAAGCCTATTCCAGGATGGGAGCTGAACTGAAACGAGAGCTCCTACTTTTCTGCTTCAAGCAGAAAACATTTCATTACCATCATATGACACTGCATTAGTCACTCATTCTTGAAAGACTTTGCCCTTTGGTTCTGACACTAGACTTCCTTGTTTTGTTTTATTTTATACTTTCCTAGATCATCCTTTACAGTTTTCTCAAAGCCTAAATCCTCGTCTTTTAATTCTATACTTTCTCTTTGATTTCTGATACTGGGCTTTCAATGCTTTCTAACCTTAACTAGCATAACATACCAAAATAAATGGAAGATTTTCATTAAGGACACAGTATTCTAATCTTAAAAACAAAATGAAAGATGAAATAAAGCAACAAAATAGAACATAAGTTCTAAAGGATCGTGTTTACATAATTCTCTTTGCACAAAAAAAAATTGCATTATTTAGGAATATAAAAAATACTTTAGGATGATTATTAAGCTTTCTTCATAACCTAATCAAAAGCCAACAACTTAATGTATGCACTCAATAAAAATCAATAGTTTCCGAAATATGTTTTCCATCACTGGCAAACTAGCCAATGAAGTAATTTTTTAAACAAATGACTCTACCTAAGTCAAGTGATTTAATTATTTTCCATGCCTCCAATCTTGCTCTCTTTATGTTAAATTGATATTTAATCAAAATAGTTCCAAAACCCAAGTAAGTTCCTATTGATTTCCTGCTTAAAACTCTGTGAGTTCTCCTTTTTAATAGATCAAAACTCAAATTCAAGGTTCTCAAATTCCAGGTCTGAACACTGCCTACCTTTTCTACCACCACGCACTCACACAACTATACCAAACTATTTACTATTTTCCAAACCCATTTATTGTTGTTTCACAATTCTGCTGTTTGTAGATGCTCTTATGTTTGTAATATCCCTCTCTGGCCCCATTTACCCAAAATTTCCTATTCCTCTTTCAAAACTATGATAACACATCTCATCTCACCCTAACTTCATACCATTCACTAGATTATACCCTCTTTAAGGCCACTACTATACTTTATACACAACCTATTATAGCACCTATCACTTTGTATTATAACATTTTCTGTTTGTATCCCCTACGAAGCTGTCATCCTATAAGACACAGGCCATGTCTTATTCATTAAGGTATCCTAAGTACAATCCCAGCCAAATACCGGACTCAATACATGACTGTGGAATGTGTACATGAACAACTAATAGGCTTCCTAAATATATACCTGAATTTAAAGATTCATAGAAATGGGATAGCTTAAATGTCTTAGCTTGAATGGACTGCAAACTTTACCCTCAAAAATATATAAAGTAGCCCTGGCCAGTTTGGCTCAGCAGTTAGAGCGTCGGCCTGCGGTCCAGAGAAACCTGCGTTCGGTTCCCGCTAAGGGCGCGTACCTCGGTTGCAGTTTGTCCCCGGCCCTGGTTGGTCGTGCGGGTGGCAGCCGCTCGATGTGTTCCTTTCACGTCGATGTTTCTCTCTCTCTCTTTCTCCCTCCCACTCTATCTGAATAAAAAATGGAAAAATGTCTTCAGGTGAGGATAAAAAAAATATATATATATATACACACACACATATATATATAATAAATATATAAATACACACACACACACACACACACACACACACAAAGAAAACAAATGTAGATGGGGCACAGTCAAGAGCAGGACTCATAGTAAACAAAGACTCACTAGTAATTCTCACAGCCCGGTCAGTGCGGAAATCCTCTGTGTCTGGTTCATCACGGTCTTCAAGGAAATTATACTCTGGATCATCATCATCATCCGCCTCATCTAGAAAAAAAAAGTTCAGACACTTATCCCCAACTCTAAACTCATCTCTAGTGACAATTTAAGATATTCAGCATTATAAGAATCCGTTCCAATAAAGTACATTTATTCTTTTTTTAATTATTGATTTTTTAGAGAGAGAAAGAGATAGAAACATCAATGTGACAGAGAAACATCGTTCAGCTGCCTCCTGCACGCCCCCTACTGGGAATGAGCCCGCAACCCAGGCATGTGCCCTGACTGGGTATCAAATCGGTACCTGTCAATTCATGGGATGATGCTCAATCCACTGAACCACACTGGCCGGGCTATTCTTAAGTTTTAAGATAATCTATTTCCCTCTGTGCCCTTGCACAGATCACTTCCCACAGCTGACTCATCTCACCTATTCTCTCCAGTAAGCAAAATCCCTTCCTTCCTCTAAGTAAGACTTAAACATCTCAAAATGCAGCAAAGTCAGAAAACCGAACATATAATTAATTTATCTCAGGAATCCCACTTTGAGTACTGCATCTTATGAAAATAATGCTTTTGTAAATTTATACAAAGGCATTGATAGTGAAAAAAGAAATGACCCAAATTAGAGAATAACTACAATACAAAATGAAACATGCAACATTCTATAAATGTTTAATACCTACATGACAAACAACAACACAATATAATAATACATAATAGCCCTGGCCGGTTTGGCTCAGTGGTTAGAGCGTCGGCCTGCGGTCCTGAGAGACCCGGGTTCGGTTCCCGCTAAGGGCACGTACTCTGGTTGCAGTTTGTCCCCGGCCCTGGTTGGTCGTGCAGGTGGCAGCCACTCGAAGTGTCCCTTCACGTCGATGTTTCTCTCTCTCTCTCCCTCCCACTCTATCTGTACAAAAAAATGGAAAATATCCTCGAGTGAGGATAAAAAAAAAATAACATAAAAAAAATAATAATAATAATATTAATACATAATAATCATTAAGTGTTTAAAATCATATCCTGCCCTGGCCAGTTTGGCTCAGCAGTGAGAGCATCAATCTGCAAACCAGAGAGTCCTGGGTTCGGTTCCTACTAAGGGCACATACCTCAGTTGCAGTTTGTCCCCGGCCCTGGTTGGGGTCATGTGGGTGGCAGCCATTCGATGTGTCTCTCTCACATCGATGTTTCTCTTCCTCCATCTCTCCCTCCCCACTCTATCTGAACATAAATGCAAAAATGTCCTCGGGTAAGGATTAAAAAAATAAATAAAATAAAATAAAATCATATCCTTACAATAGGACTCAAAAATAACTAAAAATAGCCCTGGCCGGTTTGGCTCAGCAGTTAGAACATCGGCCTGTGGTCCTGGCCAGTTTGGCTCAGCAATTAGAGTGTCGGCCTGTGGTCCAGAGAGACCCGGGTTTGGTTCCCGCTAAGGGCACGTACCTCGGTTGCAGTTTGTCCCCGGCCCTGGTTGGTTGTGAGGGTGGCAGCCACTCGATGTGTCCCTTCACATCGATGTTTCTCTCTCTCTCTCTCTTCCTCTCTCTCCCTCCCGCTCTATCTGAACAAAAAATGGAAAAATGTCCTCGGGTGAGGATAAAAAATAAATAAATAAATAAATAAATTAATTAATTAAATAAAATCATATCCTTACAATAGGACTCAAAAATAACTAAAAATAGCCCTGGCCGGTTTGACTCAGCAGTTAGAACATCGGCCTGTGGCCCTGGCCAGTTTGGCTCAGTGATTAGAGTTTCGGCCTGCGGTCCAGAGAGACCCGGGTTCGGTTCCCAATGAGGGTACGTACCTCAGTTGCAGTTTGTCCCCGGCCCTGGCTGGTCGTGCGGGTGGCAGCCACTCAATGTGTCCCTTTCACATAGATGTTTCTCTCTCTCTCTCTCTCTTCCTTTTTTCTCCCTCCCACTCTATCTTAACAAGAAAGTGAAAAAACGTCCTCGGGTGAGGATAAAAAAAAAGAACATCGGCCTGTGGACCAGAGAGTCCCAGCTAAGGGCACGTACCTTGGTTGCAGTTTGTCCCCGCCCTGGTTGGGGTTGTGTGGCTGGCAACCAGTCAATGTTTCTCCCTCTCTCTGTTCCGTCCCCCTCCTTCCTGCTCTATCTGAAGATAAATACAAAAAACAAAAATTGTCTTTGGGTGAGGATAAAAAAAAAACAAAACTAAAAACCAGCCGGTGTGGCTCAGTGGTTGACCATCGAATCATGCACCAAGAGGTCACCAGTTCAATTCCCCGTCAGGGCACATGCCCAGGTTGTGGGCCCAATCCCCAGTGCGGGCGTGCAGGAGGTAGTCAATCAATGTTTTCTCTCATCGATGTTTCTATCTCTCTCTCCCTCTCCCTTCCTCTCTCTCTAAAAATAAATAAATAAAAATACACAAAAATACGTCATGTTAGGGCTTAGAAATATGCCTCATAATTTTCTTTAATGTTGATATTATGATGTCTTTCCCGTTCCTCAATAAAAATTGTGAAGGAGTCATTGAATTATGTTAAGGTTATAATTTTCCTGAGACAAATTTAGATCAATATCATCCAAAATGATTTTCTACAATGATGAAAAGGTGCTACATATGCATTGTACGATAATGGTATACCTGAGGAAACTGAGAAATTGAAATGTGGCTAGTGCAACTGAGGAACTGAATTTTTTTAAAAAACCTATCAAAAGAGCACTGGCCGGTTTGGCTCAGCAGTTAGAGCGTCGACCTGCGGTCCTGAGAGACCCGGATTCAGTTCCCGCTAAGGGCGCGTACCTCGGTTGCAGTTTGTCCCCGGCCCTGGTCGGTCGTGTGGGTGGCAGCCACTAGATGTGTTCCTTTCACATCGGTGTTTCTCTCTCTCTCTCTGTTCCTCTCTCTCCCTCCCACTCTACCTGAACAAAAAAATGGGAAAATGTCCTCGGGTGAGGATAAAAAAAAAGAAAAGAAAAAAAAAACAAAAAAACCTATCAAAAGAGAAACTAAATTTCTTACTACAACATAATCATTGAACAAGAGGAAATGTTGCCCTGGCCAGTTTGGCTCAGCGGTTAGAGCATCAGCCTGCGGTCCAGAGAGACCTGGGTTCGGTTCCCGCTGGGAGCACGTATCTCAGTTGCAGTTTGTCACCGGCCCTGGTTGGGTCGTGTGGGTGGCAGCCACTTGATTTGTACCTTTCACATTGATGTTTCTCTCTTTTCCTCTCTCTCTATCTCACTCTATCTGAACAAAAAAAAAAGAGGAAGATGTCTATGTATTACAAGGGAAAAACATCTAAATTATATTAAGTGAAGGAAACAAGCTTTATATGCAGAACAATATATATGATATGATTACTTTTAGGGGAAAAGTATTTGAGATAAATATGTGCTTGATTGAATACACACACAGAAAATATCTAGAAAATATCAATGAAGATTGAAGAACTCTTACTTTTTACTTTGTACCCTTCCATGATGATTTTCATAATACATATCTTTCATTAAAAATAAATATATAGCCCTGGCCGGTTTGGCTCAGCGGTTGGAGCGTCGGCCTGCGGTACAGAAAGGCCCAGGTTCGGTTCCCGCTAAGGGCACGTACATCGGTTGCAGTTTTTCCCGGCCCTGGTTGGTCGTGCGGGTGGCAGCCACTCGATGTGTCCCTTCACATCGATGTTTCTCCCTCTCTCTCTTCCTCTCTCTCCTCCCGCTCTGTCTGAACAAAAAATGGAAAAATGTCCTCGGGTGAGGATAAAAAATATATATATATATATATATATACACACACACATTTTGGTTCACAATCATTGAATAATCTGTATTGATTAACCTCCTCTAACCTGATATTCTTTTTTTTGGTTAATCCCCAAACGAGGACATCCTTCCATTGATTTTTTTTTCTTTACCGATTTTAGAGAGAGAGGAAGGGAGAGGAGAGAGAGAGAAACATCGATGAGAGAGAACATCGACTGGCCACCTCCTGCATGCCCCCCACTGGTGATGTGGCCCACAACCTGGGCATGTGCCCCAACCAGAAATTGAACTGGCGACCTCTTGGTGTATGGGTTGATGCTCAACCACTGAGCCACACTGGCCGGGCTATACATAGCTATTTAAATGTCAATTCCTTTCCATGCATTTGTGGGTTTATCTCCCTGAAACTTTTGTAATCCTCAGGAATGGAATTCTGTCTTCCTAATCTCTACAGTACTTTTTAAGTCATATCACAGCAGGTTCTTTACACAAACTGGTCAATAATGAAAGCTCTGCAAGAGCTTAAAACATAATGGATATCATATTAGTAATGTATGGACACTCATCTATTTGTTTGAGTACAAGAACTGCAATAGACAGCTTCTGCCCGTAACATAAAAATGGGTGAGTCAATGTTCTCAGTGAACCTATTTGGCAAACAGGCTGAAAAATCATTTAGGAAGGTTTATTCCGAGTTCTGCTTAGCTTTTAGTACCTTGGTTGTGAAATACACCCTCTGTGTAAAGTTACTTTTTCACTGATTAACAATGTCAGCATCTAACCAGCTGATCTCAGTTTGGTATATACTCTTCCAGTGCAAATGAGACTCTCACTTTTAATAATACAAAGATCAGATGGTATTAGGAACATGTGAAAATAGCCATGTAATGCTACAAAAATAGACCAGCATATCACTATAGTGTGGTACTAGGATCTATATCTACCCTCATCTCCTATTTACCAGCACTCAGTCAATCAAGCTGGTAAATCCACACCAACTCTAGTTGGCTTTGTGTGTGTTTTTGTTTTTTAAATCCTCACTCAAGGATATTTTTCCATTGATTTTTTTAGACAGAGTTGGGGAGAGAGCGAACAAGAGAGAGAAACATCGATTTGAGAGAGAAACACTGATTGGTTGCCTACTGCATGACCTCAACTGAGGCCGAGGACTGAACCTGCAACCTAGGTACGTGTAACCTTGACGAGGAATTGAATTTGTGACTCTTTGGTCCTCGGGCTGATGCTCTAACTACTGAGCCAAACTGGCCAGGACAGAGTTTTCTTTCTTTAATCTGTCCTGTAGGCAAACAAATAAAATATAATACATTTTAAAGAAAAAGGATTTTCACCCTTTTCACTAACCATTATTCCTCAATGAACCTTTATCACACACTTAGTTTCCAATATTTAGGATACCCACTGGAGATTCTGATCCAGTAGGTATAGGGGGAGGCCCTGGAATCTGTATCTTTAATTAACACTACTCAACACACAAACATCCTTACATTTCTTGATTTGGATTCAAGTTCTGGGGACCTATTATAAGAAACACTGCCCTAGACTCCCAAAATGCTGACAGCTAACCCTGTCTGGCCTTTCCTCCTCAATAGCTACCATTTCAGCTCTTTCAACCAAGGTCATGATCATCAGGAAAACCAAAGCTGCTGTCACTGATAAAGCTATGAGAACCTGACTTAATTACTGTCAAAATTTTATGTCAGCTCAGGTCTGAGGACAAAAAGCAGAGTTTGCTTTGCTGAGTCATATTCATTTAAAAAATGCTTTAATGTCCCCTAAGACTACTTTATTCAGATATGTTCCTAGAATATTAAACTGGGTTCTTATCTTAGCAGTATATAACAAATTCATTTTCTAACACTGAGCATCACAATGAATTTCTCTGAGATTTCTACAAAATGGGTGGAAATATCTTTGTCTCTGTTCATTTCTTTCTGCAGTGACTTCTGAGCCTTGGTGTCAGGGACCTTAGGGTGGGCTGGTAGAAAAATAAAGCATCAACAAGTGAACTTCAAGAAATTTATAAATCATAAAAATAATCACATGAAAAAAATTTCTTGTATATAGACAGTAGTTTTCTGGAAAGAGACTACATAGCTTTCATCAGATTCTCAAACCAGAAGCTTAGACTCCTATCAGAAAGACTAATGTGATAACATATCAGTTGTTGATTACTAAGAAACTGATTCTCCAGTTTGCATGTTGACGATAGCATCAAATGCAACTTCTTCCCCTTTATACAAGTTTGTACATTAGCATTTCTGCTCTAGGGGTGGGTGGAAAAAGAAGAAAAATGCTAATTTTCATACCAATGTACTTCTTATTATCTGTCTATCCTAAATGGGGAAAGTCCTAAGTTTAAATTTAGTACTTAAATTATTCCTATTTCTACATTAATGTGTAAAACTAAAAGGTAACTTCATATTTGAAAACTCTTAGAGATATTATCAAAATTCTGTCAGTGAGTACTCTCAGCATGAAACCCTCATCATGGGGAAGTGCTTTAATAGTTTTCATTATATCCTACATCAAGTTCTCCTATAACATCATTTCAGCAATGGTAGGCCTTCTATTTTTAGGTTGATGTGATACCACAGAAACTTAACTCTTGTTTATATCAATTAGCCTATGGTAAACTTGGTTTCATATGTCACTTCACTTAAATTCACAAAACCTAGCAATGATGCTAAGTGAGGACTTACTGTTTTTAATTTCTTTGAACAAGCATGTATATAATACAGAAAATAAGAGGAAACTCCTGTGAGGACATCTTATAGAACTCATAATACATATTATCTAATGTCACTTCCAATCATCTACCTCCTTCCTTTCCTCAATGTCACTGTTGTCAAGTATCTTTCAAAGGTCCATCTCAATGACCACCTCCTCTTCTAAAACCTTAGAATAGTATTTATGCCATTCTTTTTTTTTGTTAACCCTTACCTGAGGATGATTTTGAGAGAGAGTGGATGGGAGGGAGGTGTTGGGGAGGGGGAGGTGGGGAGGGAGGGAGAGAGAGAGAGAGAGAGAGAGATATCAGTGTGAAAGACACACATTGATGGTTGCCTCCTGCATGAGCCCCAGTGGGGGCTAGGAATTGAGCTTGCAACCCAGGTATGTGCCCTGACTGGGAATTAAACCGAGACCTCTCAGTCCATGGGGCAACATTCAATCTACTGAGTCATACCAGCCAGTCAGGACATTTTTCCATTTTTTGTTCAGATAGAGTGGGAGGGAGGAAGAGAGAGAGAGAAACATCGATGTGAAAGGGACACATCGAGTGGTTGCCACCCACACGACCCATCCAGGGCCAGGGACAAACTGCAACCGAGGTACATGCCCTTAGCAGGAACTAAACCCGGGTCTCTCCGGACCACAGGCTAACGCTTTAACTGCTAAGCCAAACCAGCCAGGGCTAGATATATAAATTTTTTAAAAGGTGTGACTCCTCCAGAAAACAACTAAAATATCTGGTCACTCCCACTGAATAAAATTTAAAAAATTAAAAAAACAATAATAATAATAAAATTCCTGATTTCATCAAAAAAATTTGATAAGCTCTGGCCTGTGCAGCTCAGTTGGTTAGAGTGTCACCCAATTCACCGATGGGTCACGGGTTCAATTCTCAGTCATAGCACATATCCAGGTTTCAGGTTCCATCTCCAATAGGAGCACATACAGGAGGCAGCCAAACAATGTTTCTCTCTCACATTGATGTTTCTCTCTTTCTCTCTCCCTCTCTGTTCCTCTCTCTCTGCAATCAGTGAAAAACATATCCTTGGGTGAGGATTTTTAAAAAATGACATCTAGAATCACTACAAATAATGTCAATCTCATATCTTCTAAATCTACAAAAATATATTACACAAAACGATTAAGTGATGCCTGCCTAATTTCCACTACATTATACTTTTTAAAAATCACCAAAGATAATTTTAATAATTATCTTTATGTTTATCTCATAGTATTAAAGTAAGAACTTTAATTATATTCTAAAATAAAGGCTATAAGTAGTGATTCTTACACGACGCATGACCATAGTCAACACTGATTCTGTCTGATCAATATTCCTTCTGAAAACACTATCACTTCTTTTGAGTAACTGCATACACCAACGACATTGTTCTATGAGTGCTGCCAATCACAGGATTCCATGATGAAACAGACTCCCTATCAATCGCATGCAACACCAAGAGAGTGAGCATATGATCAAACCAAGCCAATCTGAGTTGTTTCCTCGGAATCCAACTGGAGCCTGTAGGAGACAGGCCTTCTGCTATAAGGAAAAAGCAAGAAGTAAACAGTGTGCTTATGACCATCGTTCCAGCCTTACAGAATAAAACAGGTTTGGTAATAGAGTTGACTGAGAAAAAGACATAAAGATGAAGGCTGTAGAAAAGAAAGAAGAGCCTTAACAGGGCTTCAGCTCTACTGCAGGTTTTTCTGCCCTTTAGCAAAGTCTGGTTTCATTTGACCTTCTTGAAAGTGAGAGTTTGGATTCTTTCACTTGCACCATTAAAGAAACTTAACACAACAGTGGAGTGAATCCATATACTCCCATGAAATGGTATATAAAATATGTGTGAATTTATATTTCAGGGGAGGATTCTTAGCATTCAAAAGATTCCCAAAGATACTTTTTTGTTTTTTAGAGAGAGTGGAAGGAAGGGGGAGAGAGAGATATATTGATGCAAGAGACACATAGATTGGCTGCCTTCCACACAACCCCAAACAGGGCTGGGGATCAAATACGCAACCCGGCCATGTGCCCTTAACCAGAATCAAACCCGTGACCCTTAGGTCCTTGGGCTGCTGCTCCAACTGCTGAGCCAAACCAGCCAGGGCCCAAAAATTCTTAATCAAAAAAAGGGGAGGGGGGAAATTTAACTACTGATTTAAAGTAAATTGTTGGATAAATATAAAATTCAATTAATCAAAAACCACTTCTTTAAGCTTCTAAGTAATGAAAATTTTTCCACAGAGATAATGGACAGAGTAGATAATAAATGCAAACAAAACTACTTACCTTCATTTCCCATATCATCATTCATGAGTCCCCCGAGCCACATCTTCCAGTCCTCATCATCTGCTGTATTGGGGTCATACATGTCTGGGGTGATGTCTGGAGCTTGAAGCTCTGCCTCTAGTTGTCCCAGGGGAACATCTTTCAGAGGCATCTTAGAGCGGGTTCGGAATGCAATGAGACTGTCATCCATTGGCTAGCCAATGGAGAAGAAAATAAAAACATGTCACTGAATGCCTAATGCAAATCTCACCATATCCTGTGTGCTTCTCTTCTTAGCTAAAATAACAAGTCTCTTCTCCAAACAACTTGGGTTTATTAGTCTCTGCCTGAGCAACTTTAAGGACAATGACATCAGTTTTTAAACCAACATTCCAGGAACATTTACAACAACTTTATTAAGCTATAATTTATGTCATAAAATTCACCTTTAAAAGTATAAAATTGAGTGGATTTTACTACATTCACAGAGTTATGTGATCAACACTATCTAATTCCAGAACATTTCATCACCCCCAAAAGAAATCCAATTTCCATTAGCAGTCACTCCCCACCCTATTCTCACCTGCATCCAGTCTATGATAACCATTAATCTACTTTTTTTTTTATCCTCACCTGAGGACACTTTTCCATTTTTTGTTCAGGTAGAGTGGGAGGGAGAGAGAGGGAGAGAGAGAGAGAAACATCGACGTGAAAGGGACACATCGAGTGGCTGCCACCCACATGACCAATCAGGGCCAGGGACAAACTGCAACTGAGGCAAGCGCCCTTAGCGGGAACTGGACCACAGGCCGACGCTCTAACCACTGAGCCAAACAGGCCAGGGCACTACTAATCTACTTTATGTCTAAAGATTTGCGTATGCTGATATTTCACATAAATGGGGTTATATAATATGTAGCCTTTAGTCTCTGGATTCTTATACTTAGCATGATATTTTCAAAGTTCATCTATTTTGTAGAATGTATCAATACTTTGTTCCTTTTTATTGTGCAATAACATTCCATTATATGTATATACAACTTCTAGTTTATTCATTTATCAGTTGAAGAAAATGAGTTGTTTATACTTTGGGGCTATTATGAATACTGCTGTTATGAACATTTGTGTACACATTTTTCAATGGACATATGTTTTCAATTTCTTGAAAAGGCAGTGCTGGGTCATATGGTAGCTATGTTTAACTTTTTGAGAAACCACCAAACCATTTTCCAAAATGCACCATTTATTTAATGTTCCTACCAGCAATATATGAGGGTTCCACATTCCTCCACATCCTTTCCAACACTTGTTATTGAAAATCTTTTTTATCATAGCCATCCTAGTGTGTGAAGTGATATCTCATTGTAGTGTTGATTTGCACTTTTCCTAATAACTAAAAATATTGAGCATCTTTTAATGTCTTATTGGCCATTTGTGTATCTTCTTTGGAGAAATGTCTATTCATACCCTTTGCCCAATAAAAAATTTTAATTTTTCAATCACAGTTGACATACAATAATATATTAGTTTTAGGTATATAACAGAGTGATCAGATATTTATATAACTTACAAAGTGATCAACTCAATAAGTCTAGTATCCATTTGACACCATATATAGTTATTACAATATTGTTGACTATATTCCCTAAGCTGTACTTTACATCTCCTTGACTGATTTCATATTGGCAATTTGTACACCTTGAAATCTCTCCCCCTTTTTTACCCAACCCCCTCTAACTTTCTCCCATTTGTCCCCATTTTTGAATTGGGGCGTCATTAAAATATTTATTTATTTATTTATTTATTTATTTATTTATTTATTTATTTTTGAGAGAGAGGAAGGAGGGGGAGATGAGGGAGAAAGAGAGAGAGAGAGAGAGAGACGGAGGGATGGAGAGAGAGAGACAGAGAAAGAAATATCGAATTGCTGTATCACTTATTTATATATTCACTGGTTGAATCTTGTGTATGCCCTGACTAGGGATTGAACCTTCAACCTTTGGAATATTGGGATGACACTCTAACCAACTGGGCTACCCAGCCAGGGCTGAATTGGTTGTCTTTTTATTGTTGAATTATAAGATTTCTTCATGTATTATGGATACAAGTCCCTTATCAGATATGGCATTTGCAATTATATTCTTATTGTGTAGGTTGTCTTCGCTTTCGTGATGGTATCCTTTGAAGCACAAAGTTGTTGTTTTTTTGTTTATGTTTTTTTTTAATGTTTTTACTGATTTTTTTAGAGAGAGAGAAACATTGATGTGAGATACATCGACTGGCTGCCTCCTGCACACCCCCTACTGGGGATCCAGCCCATAACTGGGGCATGTGCCCTGATCAGGAATCAAATGGGGACCTCTAAGTCCATGGGACAATGCTCAATCCACTGAGCCACACCAGCCAGGCAATAAAAATAAATTTAAAAAAAATCAACTGACCATTATAAGAGTTTATTTTTGGACTCTGAATTCTGCTCTATCTATCTAATGTGTCTGTTGTTATGCCATTTCCAGACTGTCTTGATAACTGCTACGTTTTAATAACTTTTGAACTTGGGAAGTATATACTTCCAACTTTGCTTTTTAAAGACTGTTTTGGCTATTTTGGGCCCTTTGCATTTCCATATGAATTTTAGATTACACTTCCAATCCCTGCAAAAAAAAAAAAAAAAGCAACTGAAATTTGGATAGGGTTTATACTGAATCTGTAGATCTATTTCAAAAGTCCTCCCTAGACTACTGCAAAAACTCCTAACAGATTTCTGTTCCCCCTCTTGCTCTATCATAGTCCATTTCTCACGCCTTAATCAAAGGGAAATGTTTAACATCAATCAGAAAACATCACAAAAAGGACATGCAGTCAAGATGGCAGAGTAGGTAAACACGGTACTCATATCCTCCCACAACCAAATCAAAAGTACAACTAAACTACAAAATAACCATCATTCAGAACCACCTGAAATCTAGCTAAATGGAAGTCTTACAACTAAGAATATAAAGATGCCACAATGAGTCTGGTAGGAGGGGCAGAGACACTGAATGGACTGGTCACACACCTATGTGTAGTGGTTAAAAACTGGGAGGGATACTTCAGCTGTGGAGACTCCCTACTGTGGAGAAACAGGTCCCAGCCTCACACGGGGATCCCCAGTCTAGGGTTCCAGTGTTGGAAAGAAAAGTACCCATAACTTCTGGCTGTGAAAACCAGCAGAGATTGTGGCTGAATGAGACAGAGAGCCATTGAAGTCCTAGATATTCCTCTTAAAGGCCCATGCACAGACTTACACAGACTCATTTGCTGTGAGCTCCAGTGCTGGGGCAGCAGCTTGAAGGGACCAGGGACATAAGGGAAAGAACTGAATTATCTGGCCAGAGTTAAAAAAGCAGCTTTCTCCAAGACAGAAGTACAGGCAAAGGCCATTGTTCCTTTGCTGAGCCCACCCCGCACAGAGCAGGCAGGCAGGCGCCATATCTGAGTCTCCATTAACCTAATAGAGTTTGCCACATGCTAGTGATTCTCTGAGACCTTACCCCACCCAACTTGCAAGCCCAATAAGCTGTTTCCAGTGGTTTTTCCATACACGTGGCCTGTCTTCTCTCGTGCTTTGGACTTTCCTAAGATCTCTCAAAGGTTCACAAATCCCAAACAAAAATCATCTGATCTCAGCATACCCTGTACCTCGTGCTAAATGACTCAGGTCTGGCACTAGTGGCAGCCAGCCTCGATTCACAGCTTGGCCTCTCCAAGCCCAGCATAAATAACAACCAACTGCAGATTGCTCTGTAGTTCAGGCTGGGTGGTCCCGGGAAGGGTATAGGTAATGGCTACTCTTGGTCTGCACCTCCCAGGAGACCTCAAAGCCCATGCACCTGGTAGACCACGCTGGAGTACCACCCAGTCACCCGCACAAGCAACACACTGAAGGGGTGGACTGACTGGGCATGAGAGACCTGCTAAAGCGAATATTGCTCAGTGGCATATCCTCCGCTGTAGTCATGCAGCTGACTGGCCTTGGGTAAATCCCTCCCATTGATGTGCCAATAGCAATCAATGCTCAACTACAACAGGAGGGTGCATACATCCCACCAAAAATGGGGAGGGGATAAGGCATACTTGGAGCACACAGCTCAGGTAGTGTGGAAACTGTGCCGCTGGGCCCTACAGGACACCTACTATATAAGGCAGCTTGACCGAGACTGGAGACCTAGCAGCTCTATCTAACACACAGAAACACATAACCGAGAGAGCCAAAATGAGGAGACAAAGAAACATGTCCCACATTAAAACACAAAACAAGACCTGCCCGGTTTGTCTCAGTGGTTAGAGCGTCAGCCTGCGGTCCAGAGAGACCCGTGTTCATTCCTGCTAAGGGCATGTACTTCGGTTGCAGTTTGTCCCCGGCCCTGGATGGGTCATGCAGGTGGCAGCCACTCAACGTGTCCCTTTCACATCGATGTTTTTCTCTCTCTTCCTCTCTCTCCCTCCCGCTCTGTCTGAATAAAAAATAAAAAAAACACACACAAAACAAAACTCCAGAAAAAGAATTAAACAAAATGAAGACAAGCAAACTACGAGATACAGAATTCAAAACAAAAATTATAAGGATGCTCAATAAACCTGTTTTAAGAGTAGATGAACTTCAAGATAACTTAAAAAAAAAAAAGATAGGAAACATAAAAATGGAGTCAGATGGCCCAGGTTCATGTGGCTCAGTTGGCTGAGTGCTGTCTGGTGCACTGAAAGGTCACCCATTTGATTCCCTGTAAGTGCACATACCCGAGTTACTCAATGCCCTGTCAGGATGCATGCATGAAGCAGCTGATCAATGTCTCTCTCGCATTGATGTTATTCTCTCTCTCCCTTTCTTCCTCTCTTTCCCTCCCTCCCACTCTATCTGAAGATAAATAGAACAATATCCTCAGGTGAGGTTTTAAAAAAATAATAATAACCCTGGACGGTATGGCTCAGCGGTTAGAGTGTCAGCCTGCAGTCCGGAGAGACTCGGGTTTGGTTCCTGCTAAGGGCACGTACCTCAGTTGCAGTTTGAACCCAGCCCTGGTTGGGTCATGTGGGTGGCGACCACTCGATGTGTCCCTTTCACGTCGATGTTTCTCTCTCTCTCTCTCCCTCCCACTCTATCTGAACAAAATATCAAAAAATGTCCTCGGGTGAGGATTAAAAAATAATAATAATAATAAATTAATTAATTAA